AACTGTTGGTACCATAACCCCCAAAATCAATCCCCACCTTCCTTTTGTGGTATTGAACCTTATGGTAAAATTTCAAAGAGATCCATTCACTTAAACTAAAGTTAGAGTGCGAAAACCAATGTGTCTTCGGACGACGACGACGACGACGCCAGATGACGACGACGCCAACGTCATACCAAGATACGACCGCAAAATTTTTTTGCGGTCGTATAAAAACTAGAACAAAATTATCAGTTAACATAAGCTCTGTTTTATAGTCAATAACAATATTTCCCAATTTCTTATGATTTGTTTGAGGCTTATGGCAGTTATTGGACAAAAAGAACATATAATCCAAATTTCATAACTCAGGAACAAGAAAAGTGAAATACTAATGTATGTCATGGATGAACTTGACCTGGATTTACTGGTTTCTTTCAATACTAACAGAATTAAAATGATCATCATTTGGCCATGGTTTACTTACATGTATTCAATTCATTAAACTGTAAACAATAAAAGAAGAATGTGTCTGAGGACATGAATCCCCCTACTAAAGCTTTGCAACTAAAATGGGACAGAGGGACGGACGGAAAGACAGACGGCCAAGGGTAACACTAAATGCCCCCGTCACCTATGGCAGGGGCATAAAAAAAAGTAGGCATATGAATTGACAAGGGTTATATTTAATCTCTTGGTTTCTTTTAGGCTTTGGGTATAAAACAACAAGTTCCAGGGAGCCTGTATACCTTTCTAAATCAATATATGGGTATGAATCAGCAACCTTTTACAATCTTTCTTATTAGGTCAAGAGTTCACTGAGCACCTCTCAAATAACTTTTTAGTAACACAAAAAAATGGAAAAAAATAGACATGAGGGTCATAACTTATTGTCATTGTTGTGCAAGGACATAATAGTTAATAAATGTGGATAGTGTCCACATGTGGACACAGATGATGCCCCCGCTTGCATATCATATAGTTATATAGGGATATAAATGAAGAACGGTAAAAGTGACGCTACCCAAATTTGAACTTGATCTGAGTTTTGTGGTAATAAGCATTGTGTGTAAGTCTCATAACATTTGGTTAAGTCTAACTTAAGTGGAGAACAGAAACTAAAAAATCAGCAATTTTTCTATTTGTAAACACGCATAACTCTAGAACGGTTGTGTATAAGTTTTATAACATTAGGTTGAGACAAACTAAAGTTAGAGAACGGAACTGAAAAATTCAGCAATTTTTATGTTTATAAATGGACATAACTCAAGAATGGTAAAAGTGTAGCCACCAAATTTCGTACTTAATCTGTATTATGTAGTAATGAGCATTGTGTATAACATTTGGTTGAGGCAAACTAAAGTTAAAAAACAGAAACAAAAAATTTGTACTTGATCTTAGTTTTGTGGTAATGAATATTGTATAATGGTTTCATAATGTTTGGTTGGGGCAAACTTAAGTTACAGAATGGAAACTAAAAATTTTGCAATCTTTTGATTTATAAAGGGGCATTACTCAATAATGGTTATAGTGACACTACCCAAATTGAACTTGATCTGTGTTTTATCAGTGGAAGTCAAAATTAAACATTGCATTGTATAAAGCATTGATTGTAGTTGATTCAACTATAATCATGGACAAAGGAAGAAAACTCCAATTTTAATAAAATGCTTCGCTGTGCGCAGCTTGATACGACCGCAGAGGTAGAACCCTGAACAGTTGGACAAGTATGGACACAACATTCAAGCTTGATACAGCTCTGAATTTGGATTGTGATTAAATATTTGACACAGCATAGGTTTCTGACACAGAATGAATGTGGTCTAAGAACTTAAAATTTTTTTAGTTTACCTATTGTGGTCCAATATCCAAAATCTAAATACATGGTTTGATTCAGCATATCAAAGAATCCAAAGAATTCAATTTTTTATGAAATCAAACAAAGTTTTATTTTGGACCCTTTTAACTTAATGTGGACCAATATGATAACGGGGCCCAAAAATTAAAATACATGGTTAGTTTCAGCATATATTCAATTTTTGTTGAAATCAAACAAAGTAATTTTGGACCCCAACTTGGACCAACTTGAAAACTGGGCCCATAATCAAAAATCTAAACACATGTTTAGATTCAGCATATCAAAGAACCCCAAGAATTCAATTTTTGTTTAAAATCAAACTAAGTTTAATCTTGGACCCTTTGGACCTTAATGTACACCAATTTAAACTAAAGGCTCTCAAGAGCCTGTGTCGCTCACCTGTATTTACTGATGCTTTGGAAATCATGTAAAATAAGGTTAAAATCATAATTAATAGTATTAGATATTAGATATTATAATGATATCTAAGATAATAAAGAGCCTGTGTCGCTCACCTTGGTCTATGTGCATATTAAACAAAGGACACAGATGGATTCATGACAAAATTGTGTTTTGGTGATGGTGATGTGTTTGTAGATCTTACTTTACTGAACATTCTTGCTACTTACAATTATCTCTATCTATAATGAACTTGGCCCAGTAGTTACAGTGGAAAATATTTTGTAAAAATTTACAAAAATTTACAAAATTTATGAAAATTGTAAAAAATTGACTATAAAGGGCAATAACTCCTTAAGGGGGTCAATTGACAATTTTGGTCATGTTGACTTGTTTGTAGATCTTACTTTGCTGTACATTATTGCTGTTTACAGTTTATCTCTATCTATAATAATGTTCAAGATAATAACCAAAAGCTGCAAAATTTTCTTAATATTACCAATTCAGGGGCAGCAACCCAACAACAGGTTGTCACATTTGACTGAAAATTTCAGGGCAGATAGATCTTGACCTGATAATCAGTTTTACGCTATGTCAGATTTACTCTAAATGCTTTGGTTTCAGAGATATAAGTCAAAATCTACATTTTACCCCTATGTTCTATTTTTAGCCATGGCGGCCATCTTGGTTGGTTGGCGGGGTCATCGGACTCATTTTTTAAACTAGATACCCTAATGATGATTGTGGCCAAGTTTGGTTAAATTTGACCCAGTGGTTTCAGAGGAGAAGATTTTTGTAAAAAGCTAACGACGACGGACGACGACAACGGACGCCAAGTGATGAGAAAAGCTCACTTGGCCCTTCGGGCCAGGTGAGCTAAAAACGGGACCCAAAATTAAAAATCTAAATACACCGTTAGATTTGGCATATCAAAGAACCCCAATAATTCAATTTTTGATGAAATCAAACAAAGTTTAATTTTGGACCCTTTTGACCTCAATATGAACCAATTTGATAGCGGGGCACACATATAAAAAATCTAAATACATGGTTAGATTCAGTATATCAAAGAACCCCATATATTCAATTTTTGTTGAAATCAAACTAAGTTTAATTTTGGACCCCAATTTGGACCAACTTGAAAACTGGGCCCAAAATCAAAAATCTAAATACATTTTAGATTCAGCATATCAAAGAACTCCATATATTCATTTTTTGTTAAAATCAAACTAAGTTTATTTTTGGACCCTTTGGACCTTAATGTAGACCAATTTGAAAACTGGACCCAAAATTTAAAATCTAAATACACGGTTAGATTCGGCATAACAAATACATAAATGTGGTCAAAGATTTTACAAATCTAATGCGCCATACTGTGCACTTAAAGATTACTTCTTGAAATTTTTCAATATTTGAAATTTGAAAAAAAAATAATATTTGATGAATATCTGAAATCTGAAATGAGAAAAAATTGACCCCCACAATTTCTTTTTATCCTTCCCCCCTTTTTCCCCAAAAAATTCTTTCCCTCAAGATATGGTCATAATCTCAATTTCAAATTTCCAATGGAGTTTGCAACCATAATTACCCATTTAAATTTACCATAGTGCCAACTTAATCTATTTTATAATAGAATTTAAAATATGGTGTCAAATCTTTCATATGGATTTTTTTGTAAAAAAAAGATGCAACATTTGCAGATATTTTTACTGGTCTTCCTTTATAAATATGCATTTCTTTAAACATAATTTAAAAGCAGTGTAAGGGAAGTAATCTAAGCGTTGTATTTGGATTACCTCCCTTACACTGTTTTAAATTGTCTTATTTGTTCATTAACCACTACTTTATACATAATTTAAAAGCAGTGTAAGGGAGGTAATTCAAATGATGTATTTGATTTATCTCCCTTACACTGCTTTAAATTATGTTTTGTACTAAAGTATATGTCCATTAACCAGGACAACCTTGTTTTTCCCTCTTTTTTGCCCCCAATTCCTAAACGGTTTGAGCCATAACCCCCGAAAGCAAATCCTAACCATCCCTTTGTGGTATGGAAACTTGTGGTATAATTTCAGAGATATCCATAAACCGTTCCACAAGTTATTGTCTGGAAACTAGAAAATGCTTATTTTTGGCCCCTTTTGGCCCATATGTCCTAAACTGTTAGTACCATAACCCCCAAAATCAATCCCAACCTTCCTTTTGTGGTATTTAACCTTATGGTAAAATTTCATAGAGATTCATTCACTTAAACTAAAGTTATAGTGCAAAAACCAATGTGTCTTTGGACGACGACGCCAACGTCATACCAATATATGACCGCAAAAATTTTTTGCGGTCATATAAAAATTACTTGATATTTAGAAGAAAATAAAAATTCTGCAATTTTTCCATTTATAAAGGGGCATAACTCTAGAACAGTTAAAGTGACGCCACCAAAATTCAAACTTGATCTGTGTTTTGTGGTAATAAGCATTGTGTATAAGTTTCATAACATTTGGTTGAGACAAACTCAAGTTAGAGAACGGAAACCAATTTTGGGACGTACGGAAAGATACGTACAGACGGACAAGGGTAAAACTTAATGCCCCACCGCTACGGCGGGGGCATAAAAACTGGATGAACCACGTCATAAAATGACATTGGGTAACACAGATTATCTAAAGAGTGCATACAACAAAATATTTATGGGAACCAAAAAGACAGACAAATAATGAGATTTTCTTCTTCACATTCACATAAACTAAACAATAAATAATAAATCTAAATTATTCATTTTTATTTAGAAAAGGAAGGTACAAATTTGCTGTACATGCACATATTTTTAATGGCTGCTATGAATTAGCACCACATGGTGATGCATCCCTGATCTCTGGTGACCAGAAGTATTTGTATTTATACATCATGTTAAAAACCATTTAGAGGTATAAAGCAGATGGATCATACTTTATGTATAAATATCAAAATAAATATGCTTGGAACAGAAAATTAATTACCACCATTACTTGACAATATGATATTGAAATAAGATACAGGAAACTGAAAGATCCAAATTAATTTATTTTTGTAAGTTTTACTTCCAACAATCATGCTGAAGTCTCATTTCAGCTGAAAATTAGAAAAAATGGCTTTAAAAATCCAAAATAAACATGATTTAACAGCTTAAAGTTAAAAGCTAGAATTAATTTGTTGAAACGTCTGTTAAAAACATTTACTATTTCCTCCCAAAATACAGATATTATATGAAATTGCACAATTATTTTATGAATATTAGATAAAGCAAAATAATAATAGCCTGGTGTTTTTCAAAGGACTGCACATTACACATATCTGAAAAAGACAGTGAAATGAAAAGGCATCAGCTTTACTGGCCATTATCTATTTACATGAATATGTAAAGATGACAAGACAAAAATTTGTATTCCTACTAGTTATCATTAATAGCCCAATGTTCTCACAGTTTTAATCTTTTCTTTACACGTTTTTTGGCACATCATGCACTTGTAGACTTGATAAATTCTACAAAGGTGGCAGAAAATAATTTAATAATGTTGATGTTAAAAACATTAACATGTACTGTATTATATACAAACACATGTATATATATATATTTTTAAACATTGACAAGTTACTTAAAATAAACATCAAAAGCTTGTAACCATGGTGATAGTCCATAATAATTTTTTTTTAAGTTATACAGTGCAACTTTGGTATATAACCATTTTATAAAATTTACAAGTATATACTTGGTAAATGAAGGAAAAGCTGCTCCATATACATATGTATGGATCAAATAAATTATAATTACATAAATTTTTTTTATTCACATTCTAAAACTACCCCAATAAAATTTTGACAAAGTAATAATCTTTGTCACAATATGCATACTTGAAATAGCACGTTTGAATGGTGAATGAAGAATTTGTTATTCTAAGATGATTAAGAAATTGATGGAAAAGATTAAGAGTGACTCAATGAGTGAAAATAAAACAAGGGAATGCTGTAACTAATTATTTTGTAGTAGGACAACACACACAAATCATTTGGGTATTAAATGGTTATCTCTAACTGTTAGCAAGGATATGAAGAAAGTTTTTTTATTAATCTTAATTAAAATTCATGTATATATTATTTCAACAAATTGATCAAAGTTCATTCCTTCTACAAAAACACCATATTTATATTTTAAATAATTCTTCAATTCATTGTTAAAGACAACAATTAAATGAAACAACATGAACTCATTTTAATTTGTGATTTAATCAGCAAATTGAGATTAAAAAATGTGGATGAGAGTAATAGTTCTTTTCAGAATTCAAATTTGAGACTGTAAATGTTCCATAATGCATTGGTATAAGATTGAACTTGTACACATTTCCTTCCCAGAATGTGAAACTTTAAAGTAAAGACTCATGGTAATGCAAATGGTTTTCAGATACTGATTTTTTTTTTTAATTTGCCTTATCTAACTACTATTAATTGTGATTCAGTTTTTCCAAATGTTACAGTCATATAAAACTTACATACAAATGTAATATCAAATCTTTAAGTCAATTTCAATCTTTCAAAAATATCTTGTATTTTGCTGCCCACAGGTAAAAGTATTAAGATAAACCAATATGGCTTAAAACTAGTCCGTCGTGTGACAATTTATAGCATAACATTGAAAAAAATTCAATGAATCTTATTTATGAGTAAAACCAGAAACAATGTAATAATACCTGATTGCCTGTTTAGAAATAAACAACTGGCATAATGTTTGTTTCATATTTTTGGTGAGTGAAAAATAAAATGAAATCAATTTATCCATGGAAGCATACAATTAATCATTTTACATTAGTGAGATTTTTTCTTTGCATCAAATCCATAATATCTTATCACCTTTAACAATAGAAAATTATTTCAATTCATTTAATTTTATTAAAAAATTCCTTTAGATGTACACAATCTAGAAAACAAAATTATGTTGATGACATAGAAACCTTGGTTTTTTATGTTGTTCATATTTCATTCTGCTGTCCATTTTTCAATTAAAATACAACAATAAAATGTAAAACAAAAGAAAGGAAGGAAAGTTTATAAATAATAAGACGGAAAATCTCTGATTGAATATACATGACAGCTTCTTACACAAGTTTAAAAAAATACATGGAAATTGATGCCGGTGTTATTATGATTTTTTATTCTGTCATGGACATATCATTACACAAAGAAATATTTAACATAAAATTTGCAGAAAAAATTGGCATCAAATCTCTGTCAACAATTTGTCATTTTTTTGTCTTTGTTTATTATTAAGTTAACATAGTTTGCATCAGAACCATGATAAATCATGTACAGTTTTATCCTCATTATGCACATCAAGGTACAAGAAAATCCAAAGGGGAGTAACTCCAATTTTCAAAGGGAGGTAACTACATAACCACTGGGGCTGCATCTAGTCATCCTCTTCAGATTCTACAAAATAAACATTGAATTTGTAAAGAAACATAGGTAATCTATGACCAAAAAAGTTTGCTTTTTCCATAAGTTTTTTTTTTTGTTCAAATGATAAATATTTTAGATTGGCTGTTGAAATGAAGATTGCTCAAATGAAACTCTTGCAAGGTCAATTGAATCAAATCATGACCACATTTGATTTCAAATGCATTTATTTTTTAATGGATTTTGTTAATCATATGCAATATCTAAGAAAAACTCAAAGAATCATTCATCTAGCAATTACCAAATGAAATGACTTAAAGGTTTGTTTATTATAATTCCCCATGGAGTCTATGCTTTCACCTAAAAAATCAAGTGACTTAAGTTTGCATGATGAAGGAAAATATAAAAACAATTTCTTGCAGGACAATGAATGACACCACAAAATAGTTTTAATTTCAAAAGGAGTTTTCGTAAGCAATATCAAAGGTCATATACATGTAACAAAACTTAAATTCTCAAAAATGACTGAATTTCAACTTTCTGAATTAGTCTACATGTTAGAAAAAACATTAATAACATCATACTCTAAAACACTAAAATGTATAGAAAAAACATTAATAACATCATACTCTAAAACACTAAAATGTATTTAAAACTATTTGAAATATTTAAAGGTTTGTGTTTGATCAATAATATCATGTTGCAAAAATCATACAAATTTTGAAATTTGGGTCACCTATCTCATACAATTAGATCAATTTTTATCATAGAGTGGCAAACTCATACAGAAAAATCAAGTAATTTCCCAACTTACCTCATCTATGTTCAATTCAAATTCACTTGTTTTCAATTAACCAGGCCTATTAAACCTTTCTATGTATGTAGTGGTTTAAATTATGACTGAGTAAGCCAGAGACAATCCTTCCCTGCACCCTTATAATTTAATTTATTTTTGGTTAAGTTACCTTCCTCAGCATTTTCCAACCATTCTATGAACTTCTTCATCTGTTCCAAGAATGTACTTTTCCCTTTGGAAGAGTGTCCTTCTTTGTACCATTTTAAAATGACATCCTCTGATAAAACATCACCTACAAATATTATAAGTTATTGTATATAAAATTCTATCTATATTTTCTATTCTATAAATAACACATTTCATAGTCTGTTAACTTGGCTACCCTAAATTGGTAATTTCAGTGATCAAAGTTAGATTACACCAAGCATTTCTGGATAATGTGTAACTAGCTATAACAACTTATATTTATTCTGTCCATGTGGCAATGAGTTACAGCAGCCTGTCAGCATTTCAAAAAAGAATTTGAGCTAGCTGTATATTTTTTTATCCTGTTTTTATTCTCTTTTGGTTTGGTAATTGAAGATATTCAAGACAATCAAGTTAACCATAGGGAACAAGGCCAAGTAATTTGGTCACAATAAAATGATTACTTCTTATTTTTATATGGGTTCTGTTAACTGACAGTGCATCCACAGACTTAATTTTGTGCTATACTGTTTATTAATGCTCTTGTTAACTTCTGTTTAAGAAAACATTTCTAATACCAGATCTTGCCATGATAGCAATGAAGCTTAGAACATAATACATGAAATCAGTGAATATTTTTGTTAAGCATCGTTTAGATTTATTTATAGTTCTTTTCACCTCCTTTCTTCAAATAAATACTTGAAAAGAACATAAGATAACTGATATAACTTATTCCTTTATCTTGAAAGTTTTCGAATTCATAATTAAGTTTTACATCTGTTTGCCATGGCACACGTGTGTATGTTAACAATAGGGTTCTGTTGATTTTTTTCCTACAAAAACTTTCTGAATTTTATCAATTTTGATATTGCTTTGACAAACACCATCCTTTATTGCTAAAATTATATAGCTGAAAACCAATCAAACCTGAAAAATAAAATGCTCCAGTGGGGCACAGCTTGATACGACCGCAGAGGTCGAACCCTGAACAGTTGGGGCAAGTATGGACACAACATTCAAGCTTGATACAGCACTGAATTTGGATTGTAGTTAAATATTTGACACAGCATAGGTTTCTCACACAGAATGAAAGTGGTCTAAGAACTTAAAAAATTTTAATTTACCTATTCAAACCATATCATTATTATTTGCTTTTATATATAAATCAGAAATAACTAATTTAAAATGGAAAATTTTAAAGAAAAAAAATGAAAAAAAAATCCCCCCCCCCAATTTTTTGAACCCCCTTATGATTCATCACCCCCAAACTCAATCCCAGCTTTCCTTTTGTGGTATGGTACCTTGCAGTACAATTTCAGAGAGATCCATACACTTGAACACAAGTTATTGTCTGGAAACTAGAAAAATGCTTGTTTTTTTGCCCCTTTTTGGCCCCAAATTCCTAAACGTTTAGGGCAATTACCCCCAAACTCAAACCCAGCTTTCCCTTTGTGATATGGAACCTTGCAGTACAATTTCATAAAGATCCATACACTTACACACAAGTTATTGTCATGAAACTAGAAAAATGCTTGTTTTTTTGCCCTTTTATGGCCCCTAATTACTAAAATTTTGAGGGAATTACCCCCAAAATCAATCCCAGTCTTCCCTTTGTGGTATGGTACCTTGCAGTACAATTTCAGAGAGATCCATACATTTGAACACAAGTTATTGTCTGGAAACTAGAATAAAATGCTCCGCAGGGCGCAGCTTGATACGACCGCAGAGGTCGAACCCTGAACAGTTGGGGCAAGTATGGACACAACATTCAAGCTTGATACAGCTTTGCATTTGGATTGTGATTAAATATTTGACACAGCATAGGTTTCTGACACAGAATGAATGTGGTCTAAGAACTTAAAATTTTTAAATTAGACATTCACCTATTATGGTCCAATATCCAAAATCTAAATACATGGTTAGATTCAGCATATCAAAGAACCCCAAGAATTCAATTTTTGATGAAATCAAACAAAGTTTAATTTTGGACCCTTTTGACCCCAATGTGGACAAAGTTGATAACGGGGCCCAAAAATCAAAAATCTAAATACATGGTTAGATTCAGCATATCAAAGAACCCCATATATATATTCAATTTTTGTTGAAATCAAACAAAGTTTAATTTTGGACCCCGATTTGGACCAACTTCAAAACTAGGCCCATAATCAAAAATCTAAATACATGTTTAGATTCAGCATATCAAAGAACTCTAAGAATTCAATTTTTGTTAAAATCAAACTAAGTTTAATTTTGGACTCTTTGGACCTTAATGTAGACCAATTTGAAAAAGGAACCAAAAATTAAGAATCTAAATACACGGTTAGATTCGGCATATCAAAGAACCCCAATAATTCAATTTTTGATGAAATCAAACAAAGTTTAATTTTGAACCCTTTGGACCTCAATGTGGACCAATTTAAAAACGGGGCCCAAAATCCAAAAACTAAATACACGGTTAGATTCAGCATATTAAAGAACCCCAAGAATTCAAGAATAAAACCCCATTGAAATTGGTCAAGAAATAAGCAATTTATAAGTATCTTCTTTTGCACAATACTGTGCAATTAAATATTTCTTGCTATTGCGCAATACTGTACAATTGACAATTTCTTGCTATTGCGCAATATTGTGCTATTGGATATTTCTTGCTATTGCGCAATACTGTGCAATTGAAGATTTCTTGCTATTGCGCAATACTGTGCAATTGAAGATTTCTTGCTATTGTGCAATACTGTGCAATTGAAAATTTCTTGCTATTGCACAATACTTATTATATAATAATTTACACATCCTGTTTGGTGTGTATCTCCTACCAAATCATTATTATTTGCTTTTAAATATAAATCAGAAATAACCAACTTAAAATGGAAAATTTTAAAAGAAAAAAAAAAGGAAAAAAAAAACATCCCACCCCCCCAATTTTTTGAACCCCCTTATGATTCATCACCCCCAAACTCAATCCCAGCCTTCCCTATGTGGTATGGTACCTTGCAGTACAATTTCAGAGAGATCCATACACTTGAACACAAGTTATTGTCTGGAAACTAGAAAAATGTGTTTTTTTGCCCCTTTTTGGCCCCAAATTCCTAAACGTTTAGGGCAATTACCCCCAAACTCAAACCCAGCATTCCCTTTGTGATATGGAACCTTGTAGTACAATTTCAGAAAGATCCATACACTTACACACAAGTTATTGTCCTGAAACTAGAAAAATACTTGTTTTTTGCCCCTTTTTGGCCCTTAATTCCTAAAATTTGGAGGCAATTACCCCCAAAATCAATCCCAGCATTCCCTTTGTGATATGGAACCTTGTGGTACAATGTCAGAGAGATCCATACACTTACACACAAGTTATTGTCCTGAAACTAGAAAAATGCTTGTTTTTTTTCCCTTTTTGGCCCCTAATTCCTAAAATATTGAGGCAATTACCCCCAAAATCAATCCCAGCATTGCATTTGTGATATGGAACCTTGTGGTACAATGTCAGAGAGATCCATACACTAACACACAAGTTATGTCTGGAAGTTACAAAAATGCTTATTTTTGGCCCCTAATTCCTTTACTGTTGGTACCATAACCCCCAAAATCAATCCAAACCTTCCTTTTGTGGTATTGAACCTTGTGGTAAAATTTCATAGAGATCCATTCACTTAAACTAAAGTTAGAGTGCGAAAAACCAATGTGTCTTCGGACGACGCCTGACGACAACGACGACGCCAACGTCATACCAATATACGACCACAAAAATTTTTTTGCGGTCATATAAAAATGCTTATTTTTGGCCCCTTATTCCTAAACGTTTTGGGCAATTACCCCCAAACTCAATTCCAGCTTTCCCTTTGTGATATGGAACCTTGTAGTACAATTTCATTAAGATCCATACACTTACACACAAGTTATTGTCCTGAAACTAGAAAAATACTTGTTTTTTGCCCCTTTTTGGCCCTTAATTCCTAAAATTTGGAGGCAATTACCCCCAAAATCAATCCCAGCATTCCCTTTGTGATATGGAACCTTGTGGTACAATGTCAGAGAGATCCATACACTTACACACAAGTTATTGTCATGAAACTAGAAAAATACTTGTTTTTTGCCTCTTTTTGGCCCCTAATTCCTAAAATTTGGAGGCAATTACCCCCAAAATCAATCCGCGCATTCCCTTTGTGATATGGAACCTTGTGGTACAATGTCAGAGAGATCCATACACTTACACACAAGTTATGTCTGGAAGTTACAATAAAATGCTTCGCTGGGGCGCAGCTTGATACGACCGCAGAGGTCGAACCCTGAACAGTTGGGGCAAGTATGGACACAACATTCAAGCTTGATACAGCTCTGAATTTGGATTGTTATTAAATATTTGACACAGCATAGGTTTCTGACACAGAAAGAATGTGGTCTAAGAACTTGAATTTTTTTAATTTACCTATTATGGTCCAATGTCCAAAATCAAAATACATGGTTAGATTCAGCATATCAAAGAACCCCATATATTCAATTTTTCTTAAAATCAAACAAAGTTTAATTTTGGACCCCTACTTGGACAAACTTGAAAACTTGGCCCATAATCAAAAATCTTAACACATGTTTAGATTCGGCATATCAAAGAACCCCAAGAATTCAATTTTTGCTAAAATCAAACTATGTTTAATTTTGGACCCTTTGGACCTTAATGTAGACCAATTTAAAAAACGGGACTTAAAATTAAAAATCTAAATACACGGTTAGATTTGGAATATCAAAGAACCCCAATAATTCAATTTTTGATGAAATCAAACAAAGTTTAATTTTGGACCCTTTTGACCTCAATATGAACCAATTTGATAGCGGGGCCCACAAATAAAAAATCTAAATTCATGGTTAGATTCAGCATATCAAAGAACCCCATATATTCAATTTTTGTTGAAATCAAAAAAAGTTTAATTTTGGACCCCAACTTGGACCAACTTGAAAACTGGGCCCATAATCAAAAATCTAAATACATGTTTAGATTCAGCATATCAAAGAACCCCATATATTCAATTTTTGTTGAAATCAAACAAAGTTTAAATACTGGACCCTATCTTGGACCAACTTGAAAACTGGGCCCATAATCAAAAATCTAAACACATGTTTAGATTCAGCATATCAAAGAACCCCAAGAATTCAATTTTTGTTAAAATCAAACTAAGTTTAATTTTGGACCCTTTGGAGCTTAATGTAGACCAATTTAAAAAACAGGACCCAAAATTAAAAATCTAAATACACGGTTAGATTTGGAATATCAAAGAACCCTAATAATTCAATTTTAGATGAAATCAAACAAAGTTTAATTTTGGACCCTTTTGACCTCAATATGAACCAATTAGATAACGGGGTCCACAAATAAAAAATCTAAATACATGGTTAGATTCAGCATATCAAAGAACCCCATATATTCAATTTTTGTTGAAATCAAACAAAGTTTAATTTTGGACCCCAATTTGGACCAACTTGAAAACTGGGCCAAAAATCAAAAATCTAAATACATGTTTAGATTCAGCATATCAAAGAACCTCATATATTCAATTTTTGCTAAAATCAAACAAAGTTTAATTTTGGACCCTTTGGACCTTAATGTAGACCAATTTGAAAACTGGACCCAAAATTAAAAATCTAAATACACTGTTAGATTCGGCATAACAAATAAATAAATGTGATCAAAGATTTTACAAATCTAATGCGCCATACTGTGCAATTAAAGATTACTTCTTGAAATTTTTCAATATTTGAAATTTGAAAAAAAAATAATATTTGAAGAATAATTCTTTTTAATTTCTGAAATCTGAAATGAGAAAAAATTGACCCCCCACAATTTCTTTTTATCCCCCCCCCCTTTTTTCCCCCAAAAAATTCTTTCCCTCAAGATATGGTCAAAATCTCAATTCAAATTTCCAATGGAGTTGGCAACCATAATTACCCATTTAAATTTACCATAGTGCTAACTTAATCTATTTTATAATAGAATTAAAAATATAGTGTCAAATCTTTCATATGGATTTTTTTTGTAAAAAAAAAGATGCAACATTTGCAGATATTTTTACTGGTCTTCCTTTATAAATATGCATTTCTTTAAACATAATTTAAAAGCAGTGTAAGGGAAGTAACCAAAACGTTGTATTTGGATTACCTCCCTTACACTGTTTTAAATTATCTTTATTGTTCATTAACCATTACTTTATACATAATTTAAAAGCAGTGTAAGGGAGATAATTTCAATGATGTATTTGATTTATCTCCCTTACACTGCTTTAAATTATGTTTTGTACTAAAGTATTTGTCCATTAACCAGGACAACCTTGTTTTTCCCCCTTTTTTGTCCCTAATTCCTAAACGGTTTGAGCCATAACCCCCCAAAGCAAATCCTAACCATCCCTTTGTGGTATGGAAACTTGTAGTATAATTTCAGAGAGATCCATACACCGTTCCACAGTTATTGTCTGGAAACTAGAAAATGCTTATTTTTGGCCCCTTTTTGGCCCCTAATTCCTTAACTGTTGGTACCATAACCCCCAAAATCAATCCCAACCTTCCTTTTGTAGTATTTAACCTTATGGTCAAATTTCAAAAAGATCTATTCACTTAAACTAAAGTTAGAGTGCGAAAACCAATGTGTATTCGGACGACACCGCCGGACGACGACGACGACGCCAACGTCATACCAATATACGACCACAAAATTTTTTTGCGGTCGTATAAAAATGCTTATTTTTGGCCCCTTTTTGGCCCCTAATTCCTTAACTGTGGGTACCATAACCCCCAAAATCAATCCCCACCTTCCTTTTGTGGTATTGAACCTTATGGTATAATTTCATTGAGATCCATCTACTTAAACTAAAGTTAGAGTGCGAAAACTAATGTGTCTTCGGACGATGATGATGACGACGCCAACGTCATACCAATATACGACCACAAAAATTTTTTTGCGGTCGTATAATAACTTCAAAAAGACCAATAGATGTCCAGGAATAGTTTTATGTGTCAGGTGCACAGGTAAATCTAATCTGTTGGACTACATATTCACCCTTGTTAGTAACTTTTATGATGACAGGGTTTTTAATAAGAGCTTGTTTTTTTACCAGTAATTACTCCTCATGTCACATTTATTGCTGGAAAAAGTGCCCTTGTTATGAATAATAGTATAGCCAAAAAAGATCGCATTAACCTCAAATTTTTGTCTTTAAACTGATTCATTGGTAGAAGAAACCACTGTACTTTACATTAACCAACAACCTTAAAACTGTAAAAAGCACTTTTAATCTAAAGCTTACTTTTATACAACATGACAATGATTTTCTGAAATGATTTCATGAAGTTGACATTGCCATAACAATACTCTTGTATTTTGACCATCAAAGTCAATTCTGCCTTGCCACTTTTTGCCACTGTGGCCAACAAAGGGCAGTAAATCTTAATGTGCTTCATAGCCTGGTCTGCCACCAGTTCTTCTTTCTTGTTCCACTCAACTGCAGCCATAATTGTGTTCCAAACCTTTAAATATTAATACATGTAACAGAGAATTTCTAACATCTGTTGATAAAATATATCATGTATGTTTAACTTGGTTATGTTAAGAATAGTGCCTCTAGTCATTAACTTGTGATGTATAATGTTCTCTAAATATGAAAGAACAGGGCTCAAAGTATTACACAGAAGGTGCATCTTATTAATGGAACTGAACCTAAATTATTCAGGTAAACTGAAGGTATAAGTAACTAAAACATTGCATAACTGTAGAGTATTGCTGAAAACTTTCCCTATCTACATTTTTTGTCTATCTTTTTTTCTATAGTTTCAAGTCATTAGGTAAAATACTTTAAATTGTCCAAAATAAAAAAATCATCATTTAAGAACAATAAATCCTGTAAGGAGTCATCTTATAATTGGTAGAAATGGAAAGAACATTTGAAGATCTAAACATTCTGATCCCTGTGAGACTTTTTCTATCTATTTAGGTTTTTAAAATATTAAGATAACTACTTGATTTTCCCCTGAGTTCTACCTTAAGTCATGGTAGCCATGTTGGATGATGAATAGAAATAGTCTTTGAATAAGAACCTAAAAATAAATCATTTGAAGTGTTGTTTTATTGGTTCAGTTTTTCTAAAAAAAAAAAAAGTTCACAGCAGAAAATGACATTTATGGTGAGTGTTTTTAGCATATATTTTGTAATATTTTTTTTTTATATTTACCATTGTAGTGATTTCACTATCATTCAAACTATTGTCCTTTATCTGTTCATGTATAAACCGTAGCATCTGAAATTAGATAAAAACAAATAATGTTTGGAATGCTTTAAAATGTAATTTTTGTAAACATTTTAATAAAAATTCTATCTTTAATGTAATATCTTTTTTAATATTAGTTCTGGTTATCAGTCTTTACGATAAACTTTTAAATCTACAGGCCCCAAGCTCAATTTTTGAAAATTTTTAGTTATAATCTGTTGGCATGTAGAAATGATTTTTATAGGCCCAAAAACAATTTTTCAAGCTGGGCTACTGGGCCTGTGGTTAAGGGTGAAAACTGGGTTATAATATTTCATTTCAATTTTTTGTATGTGCACGTTACAAATTGTTATCAACGCTATGCTGTATGAAAGATGTTAAAACTATAACTGTTATATTTAACTACTTTATGACTACTGCTGCTCTATTTTGGGAGAATTGAACAAATATATAAATCAGGTATGTGCATGACCTGTTTTGTGATGGTATTCCACCATTTTTGTCAAGCCTGCGACTTTTGTTGCAAAAGCGAGACATAGCGATCCTACATTCCGTGAACGGCGTCGGCGGCGGCGTCCACAAATATTCACTCTGTGGTTAATGTTTTTCAAATTTTAATAACTTTCTTAAGCTATCCTGCATTTCAACCAAACTTGGACAGAAGCTTGTTTATGATCATAAGATAGTATCCAGAAGTAAATTTTGTAAAAAAAAAAAAACCTGTTTAACTGTATTTTACTCATAAATAGACTTAGTTTTTCTGCCAGTTAACATTACATTCACTCTGTGGTTATAGTTTTTCAAATTTTAATAACTTTCTTAAACTATCCTAGATTTGTACCAAACTTGGACAAAAGCTTGTTTATAATCATAAGATAGTTTCCAGAAGAAATTTTGTATAAAAAAAAAATCCTGTTTATCCATATTTTACTCATATATGGACTTAGTTTTTCTGCCAGTTAACATTACATTCACTCTGTGGTAAAAGCTTTCAAAATTTTAATAACTTTCTTAAACTATCCTGGATTTGTACCACACTTGGACAGAAGCTTGTTTGTGATCATAAGATAGTATTCAAAAGTAAATTTTGTTAAAAAAAGAATCCTGTTTATCCGTATTTTACTTATAAATGGACTGAGTTTTTCTGCCAGTTAACATTACATTCACTCTGTGGTTAAAGCTTTCAAAATTTTAATAACTTTCTTAAACTATCCTGGATTTGTACCAAACTTGGACAGAAGCTTGTTTATGATCAAAAGCTAGTATCTAGAAGGAAATTTTGTAAAAATTTATTTCCTGTTTTTCCATATATTACTTATAAATGGGTTTTTATTCCAGTTAACATTACGTACAGTCTGCAGTAAAGATTTTAAAACATTTATTAGATTCATAAACCTTCTTGGATTTTTACCAAACTTGAACAGAACTTCTTACAATCAAAAGATAATATCTAGAGGAAAATTTTAAATAATTTTTTCCCCATTTTTGTTGAGCCTGCGACAAACAGCAAAAGTAGGCGAGACACTGGGTTCCGCAAAACCCTTACGAATTTTTAACTTATTTTTCTGTCATCTTCAAATAATCTCCTCCATGGACAAGCATCGTTAAAATAATGTGCCATGTTTAAAAGGTGTAGTCGAAATTGGTTTTGGTGCCATTTTTTTTGCAATTAGAATCAAATGCCTGTAATTTCATAACCCCTCTTGTATCATAATCCAAAGGGTCCTTCTAATTACTGTTTTAATTCTCTAGGGATATCACTCTAATGATCGCTAACCACATGTACAGGTAGACATACCTGACAGGAGAATACATTGATCAAGTTCAGATGATTAACTGCAGTATTTAATTACCTTTCAGCAAATGCTAATAACAATTTAGATTGCAAAATAAAATTTAGATTTACTTATGAAGAACCCATGCTTTATTGATTAATGTAATCCACATTCCCCCTTTTAAAAAAATTCAAGATAGTAAAACAGAACATGATTTCATACCAAATAACAAGATTACAACAATTATCAATCAAAACAAAATTCCGAATTTATTTCATAGTTTATAATTCATTTAATACATCTGGTTTATATTCAAAATAGAGGCACAATTTCTGTGGCATTTTCAATTCGTCATTAAAATCATTTCAATTTTAAACTGTATGGTTAATTTAAGAATAAATTTTAACAGCATAAAGATAATCTTGATGATGATAGGACTCAGCTTATGTAACAAGGACATGTCCCCTGGACTCACAGGTTCCTGATATGGCACATCCAGACAGAAAATAATGCATTCAGGACACGTTTGCACCTTAACCTTGAGTATGGTTGAGGTATTTTTTGTGAAAATGCCTTAAAAATATCCACTCATCCCTACAGTTAAGGATATCCGCTCCTCTTGTTTTTGAATTTTTGCCAGATATTCGGAATCCTCTGGTTCTCTCCATGTAGTGCCATTAAAAAAATTCCCCGTTAACCCCTGCTTTTCTTTTCATAATTTTATTACATATAGATTAAAAAGCCATATTTGAAAATGCTATCAAATCCTTGTTATTTTTTCATATTTTTTCATAGAAAAAGGGTGCCAATCATAAATGTATGAAAAGTCTAGAGAGAATTATTTCCCGCCAAATTTTCAATGGCTTATATATCAAATAAAATGCTCCGCAGGGCGCAGCTTGATACGACCGCAGAGGTCGAACCCTGAACAGTTGGGGGAAGTATGGACACAACATTCAAGCTTGATACAGCTTTGGATTTGGATTGTGATTAAATATTTGACACAGCATAGGTTTCTAACACAGATTGAATGTGGTCTAAGAACTTAAAAATTTTAAATTGGACATTCACCTATTATGGTCCAATATCCAAAATCTAAATACATGGTTAGATTCAGCATATCAAAGAACCCCAAGAATTCAATTTTTGATGAAATCAAACAAAGTTTAATTTTGGACCCTTTTGACCTCAATGTGGACAAAGTTGATAACGGGGCCCAAAAATCAAAAATCAAAATACATGGTGAGATTCAGCATATCAAAGAACCCCATATATTCAATTTTTGTTGAAATCAAACAAAGTTTAATTTTGGACCCCGATTTGGACCAACTTGAAAACTGGGCCCATAATCAAAAATCTAAATACATGTTTAGATTCAGCATATCAAAGAACCCTAAGAATTCAATTTTTGTTAAAATCAAACTAAGTTTAATTTTGGACCCTTTGGACCTTAATGTAGACCAATTTGAAAACGGAACCAAAAATTAAGAATCTAAATACACGGTTAGATTCGGCATATCAAAGAACCCCAATAATTCAATTTTTGATGAAATCAAACAAAGTTTAATTTTGGACCCTTTTGACCTCAATGTGGACAAAGTTGATAACGGGGCCCAAAAATCAAAAATCTAAATACATGGTTAGATTCAGCATATCAAAGAACCCCATATATTCAATTTTTGTTGAAATCAAACAAAGTTTAATTTTGGACCCCGATTTGGACCAACTTGAAAACTGGGCCCATAATCAAAAATCTAAATACATGTTTAGATTCAGCATATCAAAGAACCCTAAGAATTCAATTTTTGTTAAAATCAAACTAAGTTTAATTTTGGACCCTTTGGACCTTAATGTAGACCAATTTGAAAACGGAACCAAAATTTAAGAATCTAAATACACAGTTAGATTCGGCATATCAAAGAACCCCAATAATTCAATTTTTGATGAAATCAAACAAAAAAAGTTTAATTTTGGACCCTTTGGACCTCAATGTGGACCAATTTAAAAACGGGGCCCAAAATCCAAAAACTAAATACACGGTTAGATTCAGCATATTAAAGAACCCCATGAAATCAAGAATAAAACCCCATTGAAATTGGTCAAGAAATAAGCAATTTATAGGAAGTATCTTCTTTTGCACAATCCTGTGCTATTAAATATTTCTTGCTATTGCGCAATACTGTACAATTGACAATTTCTTGCTATTGCGCAATATTGTGCTATTGGATATTTCTTGCTATTGCGCAATACTGTGCAATTGAAGATTTCTTGCTATTGCGCAATACTGTGCAATTGAAGATTTCTTGCTATTGTGCAATACTGTGCAATTGAAAATTTCTTGCTATTGCACAATACTTATTATATAATAATTTACACATCCTGTTTGGTGTGTATCTCCTACCATATCATTATTATTTGATTTTAAATATAAATCAGAAATTACCAACTTAAAATGGAAAATTTTAAAAGAAACAAAAAAGGAAAAAAAGAAAAAAAAGGAAAAAAAAATAAATCCCCCCCAAAAATTTTATGAACCCCCATTATGATTCATCACCCCCAAACTCAATCCCAGCCTTCCCTTTGTGGTATGGTACCTTGCAGTACAATTTCAGAGAGATCCATACACTTGAACACAAGTTATTGTCTGGAAACTAGAAAAAAATGTGTTTTTTGGCCCCTTTTTGGCCCCAAATTCCTAAACGTTTAGGGCAATTACCCCCAAACTCAAACCCAGCTTTCCCTTTGTGATATGGAACCTTGTAGTTCAATTTCAGAAAGATCCATACACTTACACACAAGTTATTGTCATGAAACTAGAAAAATGCTTGTTTTTTGCCCCTTTTTTGGCCCCTAATTCCTAAAATTTGGAGGCAATTACCCCCAAAATCAATCCCAGCATTCCTTTAGTGATATGGAACCTTGTGGTACAATGTCAGAGAGATCCATACACTAACACACAAGTTATGTCTGGAAGTTACAAAAATGCTTATTTTTGGCCCCTTTTTGGCCCCTAATTCCTTTACTGTTATTACCATAACCCCCAAAATCAATCCCAACCTTCCTTTTGTGGTATTGAACCTTGTGGTAAAATTTCATAAATATCCATTCACTTAAACTAAAGTTAGAGTGCGAAAACCAATGTGTCTTCGGACGACGCTGGACGACGCCGGACGACGACGACGACGCCGCACGACGACGACGCCAACGTCATACCAATATACGACCACAAAAATTTTTTTGCGGTCGTATAAAAACAAGCACATGGACCCTTTACTTTTTTCTGTTTTTTTAGTTCCTTTATTTATATAGTATCAATTTATAACAGTCTTTCAAAAAGCTTGTTATTTTGAAACAGAGTAGCGAACATCCTTAATTTGTTGAATAGCCTGAAGTACATGTACAACAAGAAATTCCTTCCAGTGTCCTAGGGAGATGGAAATAGAGAGGTGCTGTGGTACACCCCTGAAATGTATAATGACCACTGATCATATCTTTCCACATTATTTAGAAGGATCATGATTCTTTGTATTATTATAAATTAAATGCATAATAGTATATAATACAAATTATATGTACATGTATAGTAAAAACCTTTTTTTATTAGTGAATATACAAAAGTTAAAAAAAAAAATAGCCTAAAAAAAAGAGTCTAGATTCAGTATCTTGTTCAAAATCTTACTTCCTCAACACTTTCTTCATCTTTAATCATTTCTCCCAACTGTTTCTGTAAACTTTTTCTTATCCCAGAAGTAGAAATTGCTTTCTGTAATAAAAGGCAATAAATCAATTAGATATAAATCAATCATCCTAAAATGAAGTAAACATTTTTCATTTTAATGATTGCAACAAATGTAATAAAACTGTTGACAGAGATATGCCTCCCACATAATATGTAGATATATATATACATATTCAGATTGGCACTTTCCAAATATAAAAGAACTATAACATAGCTTTCTCTAACATTAAAAAATAAAATGCTCCGCTGGGGCGCAGCTTGATACCACCGCAGAGGTCGAACCCTGAACATTTGGGGCAAGTATGGACACAACATTCAAGCTTGATACAGCGCTGAATTTGGATTGTAATTAAATATTTGACACAGCATAGGTTTCTCACACAGAATGAAAGTGGTCTAAGAACTTAAAATTTTTTAATTTACCTATTCAAACCATATCATTATTATTTGCTTTTATATATAAATCAGAAATAACCAATTTAAAATGGAAAATTTTAAGGAAAAAAAATGAAAAAAAAATCCCCCCCAATTTTTTGAACCCCCTTATGATTCATCACCCCCAAACTCAATCCCAGCTTTCCCTTTGTGGTATGGTACCTTGCAGTACAATCTCAGAGAGATCCATACACTTGAACACAAGTTATTGTCTGGAAAAATGCTTGTTTTTGGCCCCAAATTCCTAAACGTTTAGGGCAATTACCCCCAAACTCAAACCCAGCTTTCCCTTTGTGATATGGAACCTTGCAGTACAATTTCATAAAGATCAATACACTTACACACAAGTTATTGTCCTGAAACTAGAAAAATGCTTGTTTTTTTGTCCTTTTATGGCCCCTAATTACTAAAATTTTGAGGGAATTACCCCCAAAATCAATCCCAGCCTTCTCTTTGTGGTATGGTACCTTGCAGTACAATTTCAGAGAGATCGATATATTTGAACACATGTTATTGTCTGGAAACTAGAAAAATGCTTATTTTTGGCCCCTTTTTGGCCCCTTATTCCTAAACTTTTTGGGCAATTACCCCCAAACTCAATTCCAGCTTTCCCTTTGTAATATGGAACCTTGTAGTACAATTTCATAAAGATCCGTACACTTACACACAAGTAATTGCCATGAAACTAGAAATGCTTGTTTTTGGCCCCTAATTCCTAAAATTTGGAGGCAATTACCCCCAAAATCAATCCCAGCATTCCCTTTGTGATATGGAAACTTGTGATACAATGTCAGAGAGATCCATACACTTACACACAAGTTATTGTCATGAAACTAGAAAAATGCTTGTTTTTTGCCCCTTTTTTGCCCCTAATTCCTAAAATTTGGAGGCAATTACCCCCAAAATCAATCCCAGCATTCCCTTTGTGATATGGAACCTTGTGGAACAATTTCAGAGAGATCCATACACTAACACACAAGTTATGTCTGGAAGTTACAAAAATGCTCATTTTTGGCCCCTTTTTGGCCCCTAATTCCTTAACTGTGGGTACCATAACCCCCAAAATCAATCCCCACCTTCCTTTTGTGGTATTGAACCTTATGGTAAAATTTCATTGAGATCCATTCACTTAAACTAAAGTTAGAGTGCGAAAATTAATGTGTCTTCGGATGACGACGACGACGACGACGACGCCAACGTCATACCAATATACGACCAAAAAATTTTTTGCGGTCGTATAAAAATACTAAGGACAATATTCACCAATATTCATGCAATAACCCTATAGTTCAATATATGTACCTGCATGTCAGCAATAGGTGACAGTTTAGCCTTCTCAAAATGAGCAACAAAATTCTCCAAGCTTCTCTTGTTCAAGGGAAACAGCTCCTGAAATATAACATTAACACAAAATGACAATGAGGTAACATATGCTACAAAAAAAATATATAAGAACCTTGACCTCAATGGTCAACTGTGATCTTTATGGATTTGTGGTAAAAGAAACATTTTATGTAGGGTTATGATTTTTTTGGCTTATCAAACTTACTGTGTTAATGACTGACCCTTCAAATACCAGAAACACAACATATTTATTTATTTTATTGTTCTATAAGAGATCATGTGGTTATATTTTAGTCTTTACTAAAACTAGTCTTTATTATTTGTTTAAAATTCATCAATCCTGCTTTTTATAAATTAATCTTTTTAAAAGAAATGTTTCTCATCTGATAACTTACCAACAGTCTTGTATCTAACTGAGCTTTTTTCAATGCTCCATTGATTGATTGTATGTCTCGTTCTTCAAGCCAAACTCTAAACATCATGGTGGCAAAATCCAGTGATAAACCTGTATAAAGAGGTCAAATATATTGGACAAACTGGCTAGTTTAGGATGAGTCACAGTACACAAACAACAGATCTGTCAGCGTGAAAACTCCAAAATACATTTGAGCGGGCATATTAGAAATTGCATCAAAGATAAAACTCAACAATTCCATATTTTCCCCATTATATAGATTTCTTCATGTGTCAACTGAAACCGAAACAATAATTAAAGAAATTCATAAAATTATCAAGCCCACATTAAATCAAGAAAAAACAATCAAAGTTAAATCCTATTAGAAAAATCAAATGTCAACCATAACCATGTCAAAGACAATCTCATTATCCATGAAATTGGTTGGATAATGGGAAGTTATTGTTAAATTTAGTGAAATACCAGCATTTTAAAAAATTTTATTTTTATATATATTTTACAAATATAGATGTTAAAAAATCTATGCAAGTTTGTCTCTCCAGAGATGACTTTAAATTAAAATCTGTTTGTTCAGGCGTTTTGAGGATAGAAATTACTATGACAATGTTTGCTAATATTTTAGGCCTATATGAACAAGATAGCTACACTGCAGCAAAATGTTAACAGCAGCTTTTTTAATGCCCCGTATCACCATGATCACCCCTTAAAATGTTCAAATCAAAATGGCTGTATAATGTTCTCGACTACTGATTTAACAATGGAAAAAGTAGCATAAATGTTCATGTAAACACAAAGCAAAGGTAACAGAAATCTTTGACAGGAAGAAATACTGGTTTCCTGTCTGTAAAAATAAATGGTAACAGTATCTTACCATCTTTAACCAAATGATCCTCAAACAAATTGGATAAGACTTTTGCTGAGCAGAAACCAGTGGCCAGGAATACTCCTGTAATAATTGCCAGTTTTCTCTGGTCTGATTCATGATATCCTTTTAAGAATAATATCAACTGAAAATATACAAAATATACATCTGAATCTATTAGCAAATATTACATGCATATTCAGAAGGATAAAATGTTAATGAGACAAGAATATACTCTTTATATACTGCTTTGCACAACCCGATGTCAGACATTTAACGTGATTGCTATCAAGGTAACAGTGTGCAGACGAAATATCACCAGTTAATTATTTAGACTCTGAAACCAACCAGTATTTGCTCTTTCTCCTAAATGCCACATGTTTGATAGATAAGCAGTAAATACCAATTTTAAAAGTCTTAGATTTGGTCCAACCAGGGATTAACCCATGACCTCCTGCACTTGAGACACATATACTTTTTATTTATATTTGCCACCTTTAACAATAGACTATAGTTCCAAACTAAGTTTACTTGCAATAAATTAACAGTAGCAATTTTATGAAATTTTGGAATATCAAATCACTTTTTTTTTTTGCTTAATCTTGCCAGATATACAGCATCAGCATAAAGCTAAAAGTAGATCATTGATATGTGACCATTACAATGTTTTTCTTATTACCTTTTTAAGTGTTTCCTCAAATGATTTCTCTAAGTACTTGTATCTTCTCAAAAGTTTATAGAAAATCTACAATACATCACAATGTTTCATTACTTCAATTTCATATATTATAAAAACAGTGATACTATTTACAATGATAAATGAGTAAGATATAATATCTACCTTATCTGTGTGCAAAAATATCAAATAATTTACTAAGAAATGTTATAAATATTGAATATACCCTGCTGAGCACTAGACAGACACCTTTTTTTGAATCTTTGTGTTGAGTCACACGATAACAGTCAACAGGAACACATGTCATTCTACAGACATACATTATTTTCACTCCCAAGTGGTTCTCAATTTGCTGTTATGTCTAGATTCTGCATGATAAGCATAGAGACAGCAAATGCCAATTTTAAAGTCTTTTGTTTGATTCAGCTTGGGTCCAGTCAACAAACTGAGCGTTCTACTACAAGACCATTGAGGCAGCTTATTATACAACAAAAGAGTTTCAACTTTACATCAATATATACAAGAAGATTACATGTCAATAAATATTTCTTAAAACATCTAAAAGAAATGGTGAGATCAACTCTCTAATTTTTTTTTAAAGAGGTACTAAAACGCTATTATCATGTTCGTCTTATTCTAAAGTTCGTAATTAACGTTTAAGAATGCAAAAAACCCGATTCAATTTGGTCGTCTAATAACGGAGAAAATAGCGTGTGAAGGTCGATTATTTTTACCTATGCAAAATCCAATCAACGCTACTTCTGGAAACACACTGAAAAGGAGATTTACCGGAAGTGATGTATACAGAGTAACTCCCGAGATTTGTTTCATTTTGATCAGTACGAACGTAAACATGGATGAAAACAACTCTGAATTATCGCTATCCTTCCAAAGCTCTTCATTTGAAAGCATTGAAGATGGTGATCGAGCAGAAGATATTCAACCTTATCAGTTTGAGCCAGAACTTTCAGAGGGAAGTAGCAAATGATGAAGATCTTACGCAAAATGGGGACGTCGATATGGAACCCTGATTGGGAAATACAAACTGGTATGTAAAATTGTTTGATATTAAATGGTTTTAAATTGCTGCAGACAGGAAAATACATTTGATTAAATAGCAAACCCATTTGAACAACAAATTCACAAATAATTAAGCCATTCATGTGCAGACTTCTCTACTATTGCTATTATGAAATTTTACTTTTTTCATGCATTTAACTGAAAAGACAGATCTATATGTACATGTATCTGATACAAAGGCTAATTCACGAATTTATTGGCATTCATAAGTTTACCCACCTTTTAAACTTACAGCTATGTCATTATAATTTACCACCCTCTATTTAAATTAAATATAATTGAAGGCTCTGAATTTTTGTCTTTGGAAAATAAATGTTTAAAAACCTAAACTTCTTTATCTTTCAAAATCCTTTTAAACTTGTTCGAAAACCAATTATCAAGTGTCAGATCTCTTGCTACATGTAGTTCTCTGGCCATAACATTCCAACATACATATATGAGACTTAACAAATTATTTCCACATTTATGTCAACATCATATATACCAAATATTTTTTGCATTTTTAGTGCGACATTGTGCTGTAGTTGTATAGGTGTTTTTAATGTAATACATTGTGCTACTTTTATTTTCTTAGATTTTAAAATGTAATTTTACTTTGCAGGTGTGACTGTGGACATTGTGAATCCATGCCAACAGCAAATGAAGGCATTTGCTGTCAAGAACTAAACAGAATGACAGACAAAATGGAGGAACTACCTTCACCTACACTATGCATCACAGAGCATCCTGGATTTGAGCCGGTGTGTCTGAATCAGTATGTACTGGAAACAGCATATTACCAGTACAGACAGTAGTATGGAGAGATTCAAGTGACAACTGAAGAGTGAGTTTATAATTTAATAAATAGTAATTTTATTTTCATTACTATATAACGCTTCATCACATACATGTATATATACATAATAACATAATCATGATAATAGACGTAGACAAAATATAGATGCATAAGCAATCCAACATCAAATAATTTACAGAGACCTCATTTTGTTTAACAGCCAGTAAATAAGGTGATATTTGATAAATATTATTAGTTACATGGTGTTAGTGACCTAATACGATATATATGAGGTCAGTAAATTCCATATGGGGTGAGAGCGAAGCTTGAATCCACATATGGAATTTGCTGACCCCATATACATCGTATTAGGTCACTAGCACACTGTGTAACAAATTTATCTTACCGACTATCTTCACATGTGGTATTTAGATTAGCGGCCTATCAAAGTGATTAAGTCTTCAATACTTAGTATTTAGAACCTACTTCCATTTGTCTACACAAAAACAAATGCCAACAATAACAACTTGTTACCTTTAAATGTGTTTTATGAATTTATTTCAATCGTTTATCATCAATTTCTTCATCTGTTGAAACCTTTCAGATTTTTCCTCAACACCGTGTTGTTTTTATAAAGGGATGTAACACCACTACTAACTGTGTATTGAAATAAGCCCCCCCTACTAACCTAATATGAAATATACACCATGCGAATGCTTTAAACCAATCATATTCCTAGAAATGTATAGGAGGTAAGATAATAATAAATACAGTGCAAATGCACATGTCAATAGTTTCCTTTGACTGAAGCCAAAACAAGATACATTTCCCCAAAACTGATTGATATAATATAAATGTTTTAATTTTTTTTAGGAGAAATCGTTATACAGCCTATCGTCAGTTGGCAAAATGGGGTTGGGGATATCTTGGAAAGTCTGTACGTGTTCGACTCCCAGCATGTGCTACCATTGCAATAAGAAACAAGTTCCAGTCAAACCAGTACAAAGGTTTTGAAGAAGCATAAATTGACTTTTTACAAACATTAATATATATGTACAAATATTCCAAGCATTCAATATTTATTATACAAATTAAATGTCATGTTTACAAAAATAGCACTTGTTCTTTATTAGATGTTCAATCTACATTTCTGGCTTCCTAAATCGAGATTGCATTTCTAGTATAGCATCTGTTTTTAGTGGATGTATGTACTCAGCACAGAGTGGTCTTGGTGCTTGCATTGGTACTTTTGGCGATTGTCGCATATTTGTCCCTTCAACTATTTTTCCTACAGATTTCATCAGTGTGTTGATGTATCCTGAAAGATAATTATATTATTATAACCTTCACTAAACAAAGCGATCAAAATTGGAAAATATCACAAGGAGCTATTTCATATCATTTAAAAAATAAATAAAGAGCTACAATGTATTAAAAGTGCCTGGGTTATAACCATATTACTGAATTATGAATAAAAGGAGATGAGTACTGTGTGCGTCAACAAGACAGCAAATAAATGAAACAAAATAATAAATAGACAAAAGGGTGTATTATTACGTACATATACATACAAGAAAAGAACAAAAATTGTGAAAAAGTTCTTTAATCTTACCTTGACCCTTTCTCTTTTCTGTAGAGCTGCAGATGTTCTTAGTTTCTTCTTAGGTTCAGCAATAAATCCCTCATTGAGCACGTCAGAGGTCTTTTGGGGTAAATACTTGGCACTGAATTTGGCAAAAGTCTCTTGCTTGTGGATAAACCAAATAACTCCTTGAATTTGATTCGGTCAAATTCGTAACAGTCGTCTGAGAAGTGAGCACTACATATAGCAGAGTTTTTAGATGGCTCAGAAAAATCAACACGAGTCAGTTTTACAAAACGTATCCACAAGACACGTTGTCGTTCTACTTTAGGAAACAGGTGTACGGAATGTCCAGTTTTGGTGGAATTACTGCGCCCTGCAACTGCACAACGCTTTCCCATGGTTAATTATGGGAATATAACAAATTAATAAACGTCAATAAATATTCTAAATGCAATGTCAGTTGATAATTGTCACCTTTACGATAGTACTTTCACTTTGCGAACTGACCTGTTTACATATCTGTCTCTAATGTATATGACCCACTATGCGTCACTTCCGTTGGATATTAGTAGTGAGTTGTAGTGGCGTGTTTTACTAAATCGTTCAGGTGTTCAAATGACAAACTGACAGTAATTTGCAAATATCTCGATAATTACAAAACGGAATTTTATCGGGTTTTTTGCATTCTTAAACGTTAAATACGAACTTTAGAATAAGACAAACATGATTTTAGCGTTTTAGTACCTCTTTAAAAGAGATTATTTACTTACATCATAAAAAGCTTTTAGCTTATCAATGGACTCTTCTGTACCAAAAACACACACATGAGTCTTAGATAATTTGTTAGGGTCAGGATCTTCAACAATAGATCCACCTGGTGCTAAAAATATAAATTACTTAACAGTTTACTAACAGGAAGTGTTCTTTAATGAAATATGAAAGTATTTATATATAATGTTTTGCTCCTTTCTCTGAGCATCTCTTGAGTATATATTTGTTCCAATTTGTCACTGTTGAATTTACTTATCATATACAGAACAACTCAACTGTTGTCAGAAACTGTTGAAAATCATTCTAAATATATATCTATACCATCATTATAACATTGTTTACCTTTCTTACATTGATCAAGCAGTGACAAGCACCTATCTGTTAATGAAAATGGAAGCATGTTGAAACAATTGCATATTGAAATACATTTAAATACTATAAAGTATTATCGGTACATGTACATCACATATGAATCTGGCAAGATGAAAGGTGATAAGGTGAAAAAAAAGTGGGAAATAAATAAAACCTGGCAGCGTTAAAAAGTGCAATGACTAATTCGATTTATTATGTTAAGAAGGGTTCTGGAAAATGTTTACACCAGCATATTTTTTATCTAAGAGCTTAGGCGAAAACTTTTCCATAGGACAAATTTTGTCTAAATTATTTCGTCCTTACCAAGTTGTCCTCCAGCTACGAGTATGTCAAAGAGGACCTCTGCATAACGTCTGTAATCAAGTTTGGCCCCTGCCGTGTCTAAGTATTTTGATACCTGAAATTGTTAGAAATTTGAACTCATTTTTCATTTATTATTTTTTTTTAATAAAAAAGATATTTTTGTTTTAAGGCAGTTACAATTAATCATTTGGTCCAAGGACACAGTTATCGTCCTTTGGTTTTCGTTGTCTACGAATATAGTCCCTAGTGTGAACAGTGTATAACTTGCATTTTTTTTTTATACACTTTCCCAATTTATTTCTTGATATTTTATGCATGAAATATTAAGGGGATGAAATTATGTGTTAAAAAAATTTGGGTGCTGAATCTTTATGTTAGGTAGTGATTTGGTCGTTAAAAAAGGTCAAAAATTAGAATGTCTGAAGCTGTCAAGCTGAATTTTAGCCCCCCTTAACACAGAATTGTCAATATTTTGAGTTAGAGCTGGTAGAAGTTTCTATAATTTTGATATTATTTGTATCAATAGTAGTATACTACACTGTAAAAATCTTTTTGAGATAGAGCAGGTGCGATTTTTTTAATTTGAATTTATTGTCTAAAAGAAATGCACTACGAAATAATTGTGTTCTCGGGCCATTTGGGATGAGCTTGTAAATTTTGATTTTTGAAAATATATTAACAATTTGTTGAATTCTCAGTTTTTTTTGGCAAGATTATTATGTATAAATATATATTTCAAGAGGTATTTTGAACATTCTACATACCTGGTCTAAATCACCATCTGTTTCATTAAGACCAGCGATAATTGCATCTCGGAATAATGAAGGATCGTACTTCTCCTTTTCATCTGGAAGAAGCATTGAAAATTATTTATGTGTTAGTTTAACATTAGATAATCTATGTAAACATATAAATAATCTATTTCAAAAATGACAAGTCTAAAATTCATCAAAATTGAAAAGGAGCAATACTGCATGTCTTAATAGAACAAAACACTGACAATGACTGTGTACATTTGTAAAAATCTCTTAAGCAAGATTCAGTTATCACCAGCAGTGCATGCAATTGCTGAATTTTTTAAAAGATTGCAATTGTAGTCTCAAAATCTCAGAAACAAAAAATCTAAAAACTTCAAAATTAATGGACAGTTTGTTTTTTAGAACCAATATACATTTTTTGTTTGTAATTCTGTGAAGACCAAATACAGCAAACTTCTATTATTCTGATTAATTAAATTGACATTTTTTTTTTTATCAAAGTCCCATCACATCACCAACAGGTCTTTAATTAATCTATTTGAAAAATGAAAGGCACATTCTAAGAGCCAAACATTTTATAAATATTTCATAACAATCCATTAATCTCAACAACTATTGAGAGGTGATTGGTTTTAAAAAGCAGTATACATGTATCAATTTGTTGACAGACATGCTTACAAAAAAAAAGGCCAATCAAGTTCCCTTAATGAAAAATGTTCTGAAGCCTCTTTCTCACATACAATGTACTTATGCCAAATGTTGATCAAAATAATTTAAAGATTATTTTATATGTATTTAAATGAACTTTAACAGGAACAATTCTGTAATTCAGTAATTTACAATACAATTTACTGCATTTTATGCTGTTCAATCATATCCATGTACAAAAATTCAATTCTTTAATAAAATTAAGAGTACAAATGAAGATTTATTTAAACTATCTTCATATAATGACTTACCCCTTTTCCGGGTCTTCAGACGCGTGCCTGATAATGACGGTTTTTCTGCCTTCTGACTCATAAAAATTCTAAAATGAACAATATAACAGGATAAAACAATGTTTGCATGCATGCATGTCTACACATTTTACAAAATTCAAAATGGACAAGGTACATTTAGGTGCTTGTTTGGCCCTGCAAATTCTATTGTATTATTTCTAAGGTGTCCATTCATAAAGATTTTTCTAGTATGAACAAAATTTCTTAAAAATCTGATTCGGTTTCTCACAAAAGAATAACAATCCTCCTGAAAACACTCATAGAACTATAGACACACTTATATTTTATATTGTCACTTCTAGGTCAGAGATTGGTCATTTGGGACTATGAAATCTTAACTTAAAGGTAGATTGATATAAATGGATGGAAACATGTGCATTAAATAAAACTTCAAGATATTTACAATTTGTAACCCATAGCAATTTTCTTTATATAAATGTTATTATTCAGTGTTCTCCCCAGGCCGATATGACGCTGCGGTGCCGCAGCACCTTCATAATATTTTTGTAGATCCCGCAGCGTCTTAATTGGCCGCTGTCCCTTCATACTTGATCCCGCAGCGTGTTAATTTTCACATTTTCCTTATAAATGTTGGTTAAAATTGTCAAGTTACTGATCACCGCTGATGGGTCTGTCAGTGTTACGCAATAACTGATAATTAGTTTTACCTGAGCCACGCTTATCTCAGCCTTATCGGACTATGTTATCAGGTAATAGCGTAAATGATCATCAAGAAGATAGATATTTTTGAAGAAAATTAAAAGTTTTAAAAACTTCAGTGCAGAAATTGAAGAATTAGATCGCAAATACATTGTATTTACGCATCGTGTGTGTGATCACTTGACCATTTATATAACGAATTTTTTCATTGGTCGAGAAGAAGAATCTATTTAAACACGACCAATGAACGTGTTGAATACACATGATAAATTTGAATACACATTGCTAAAGAGATGAAAACTATGAATGAAAGTATTAGTAGTTGAAAAAATTAAAATAAAGTTTGATTAAAGATAATGAGGAGTGATTTACTTTAATAGAAAGTGAAAAAGTGTTGCTTGCAAGGTAAATTCGTCTGAAATTGTCATATTTTTAAAAAATTTTAAAATGATCATTGAACATCGATCGTGAATCCGTGCGTCGGGAAATATGTGACAATCAACACGGGTACAGAATCGCTGCAGCTTCTGTATACATTGTAATGTCACTGGTAAATAATTTCAATGGTTTTAACTTTAACATATTTGTAAAGTTTCGTTTATATCTATCTGCCAAAGATAGGATTAAACAATAATACGCACGGAAGCGTAATGTGAAACTACGGAAACTGGTCAGCTGTTCATTTATAAAAAAAATTTGTTTTAAAAAGTTGTATACCAAATATCTTCTTAACATGCTTAACCATATTCGATTTTATTAATTCTGAATGAACATGTTCTCTGCAAATAACAAAGGGGTGAATTATAAGCAAAAGGTAGATGATGGAAGTAGAAGTTTTTTTCAGACCAATGACTTCTAATGAAAAGGGGAATACACCTCCGTCTACACTGTCAGTATAAGCAGATTTCATTGCTTCTCCTAATCCCAACCAAGCTCAAGTTTTAGCAATTGATAAAAGCAAGCACCATGTTTCTGGTTTCAATGACAAGTGGCTGACTGAGTTTTCATGGCTTAGAAATGTTAAAGGGGGTATAAGCAAAAGTTATTGTGAGTGGGGGTTTAATTTTTAACCCTGAAGAGGATAAAGACAAAGTTGAGGAACAGACTGTCCAACAAAATAACACTATCTTGAAACAATATCCCTAGAAGGAGCAGAGAGTAGAGATGAATATTTATATTTTGACTTCTTTAATTGACTGAATATAAATAACTTTTGTGTTTAAAATCAATTTATTTCGTATATATATTCTTGTAATTCATTAATACTCTGCATTATTAAACACATAACACAAAGCATTATAATTCATATTGCATGTCATGATTTATGACTTATTGCTTCAGATCACTCTAAAAAAAGAGTTACACGCCCTTGAATTTTGCGCCTTAAAAAAATCCTGGGGAGAACACTGTTATTATATATATTTCACATGATAATTTTTCCGATTTACTAATTTAAGGTTATGGTGATCAGGCCCCATCTCTTAAAAATCACATGATGTCAATAGTTTATTGAGAAAATTAATTTAGTTTTGTTTTTTTGTTGTCTTAAAAGAATAACCTGCAAAGGCCAAATAAAAATAAATGTGGTGTTCCAGTTGCATCCTGAAGATAAAAATAAACTGCTTCGCTGAGCGCAGCTGGATACGCCCGCAGAGGTCCAACCCTGAACAGTTGGGGCAAAAAGGGACACAATATTCAAGCTTGATACAGGTCTGAATTTGGATTGTATTAAATATTTGACATATTATAGTTTTCTGAAGAAATGTAGTCAAAGAACTTGAAATTGGTTGTATGAATTGAATTTATATTCAATTAAAGATTTCTTGCTGTTGTGCAATACACTGTGCTGTTGCTCAATACTTAGTAAATCTGTTGTCAGACTTTAAACAATTAAAGTTCAATTAATTCTCAATGTCGTATTAGAAATTTATGAAAATGTAAAGGGAGCTTACATCAATAGATATAAACAATTCACCAAAGTTTCATGAGAATTGCTGACAGCATTTTTGAGTTATTGTCCGAAAACTGGAAAATCCCCCCTTTTTTAATGAATAAAACCCCATAACTCAGAAATGTAAAATGTAAAATTTATAAAATTCTAAACAGAGCTTACATCAATAGATATAAACAATTCACCAAAGTTTCATAAGAACTGCTGAAAGCATTTTTGATTTTTTGTCAGAAAACTGGAAAATCCCCCTTTTTTTATGAACAAAACCCTGTAACTCGGAAACATAAAATCTAAAATATATAAAAATCGAAAGGGAGCTCATGTCAATAGATATAAACAATTCACCGCAATTTCTTGCAAGTTGGTGAAAGCATTCTTGAGTTATTGTCCAAAAACTGGAAAATCCCCCTTTTTTTAATGAATAAAACTCCATAACTCGGGAACGTAAAATCTAAAATTTATAAAAAACGAAAGGGAGCTTACGTCAATAGATATAAACAATTCACCAAAGTTTTATGCAAATTGGTTAAAGCGTTTTTGAGTTAATGTCCGACATGTTGACGACGGACGGACAGACGGACGGACGGACAGACGGACAACGGTATACCATAATACGTCCCGTAAACGGGCGTATAAAAAGGGTTGGTAGATCAGCATTTTTTTTGGATTGTCAAAATCTGGAAAAAAATCTTAAGGAGCTCACCAAGTCCAATATAAAACATGCCCCTACCAATACTACCGGAAGTTCACCATTTTCTATATGTTTATTAGTAAAATAAGGAGACATGTTACCTTTTTAGTTAATTTTGTTGCATTCTGTTAAGAATTTGTTGCATTTTTAGCCAAAGTGGATACTTCTAATGGAAATTGAGATGAAGAAGTCTGTCAATTTAATTATTGAAACATCCCACAAAATGAGATCGTTCAAAATTTATCTTTCAGAAATGGAAAAAAAGTTCTAGGGTTGGGGGGTTTAAACTATGGTCGGTCAGGTAAGGCAAAAAAAAAATATGTCTGTTTACGGTTACCCGACCTACCCTATTTTTGAGCGCCGACCCTAAGTCATTTTATTTCCGTCGTAAAGTGAAAAATAACCTGAACTCGTGTCAAAAGCGAAGTTAGTGTTGCAAATGATATAAATCAATTGCCTGATACATCCCTATGTTCACAATCATGAATATGACAGCTGTTTTAAGGAAATTCGCAACTCGTGTGATGAAATAAACACTTTGCCGCAATTTTTTTCCAAGGGAAATAATCCAATCATCAAAAATACGGGTAAACTCGACCCATGATCAACTCGGACCACGACTCAAAATCATGTCACAATAAATAAAATGAAAAAATAAAATAAAATACCGACCTACCTACCCTATTTTTTTAAAGTATGTAACCTTAAACAGACATATATTTTTTTTTTGCCTAACTGGAACGACCAATATATTTTTATTTGGCCTAATCATGGTGAAAGTCCTCCTTATAAGCACAATAATTGCTAAAAGATTTATCATGTTTATGGAGCAGATTTATGGTTTAATGCAGGTGGTTAACTCTTTTGGTCCCTGTGAGCTGGTGAGATAGCTCTGCTTGGCCTACTTCGATTTGTTCAACTCGAATAGACAAGAGTTATAAAATCCATGTGCTAATGAGCATGTGTGTAGCCTTCCAAAATTGAAGTAAAAACTCTACTTGAGTTGACTCAAAATGGAGATATAGATATAATTTTATTAAAGGGATGTCGACAATGATCAAATTTGAAGAACTTCTACCATTTATTCATTATCAGTCCTTACCCGGCGAGTATCTTCCTTTTCAAAAACCTCCTGCCCCGTCATCCCCTAGGTCAAGGGAATAAAAATGAGAATGGAAAAGGGGAATGTGTCAAAGAGACAACAACCCAACCGAAGAGCAGACAAAAGCCCAATGCAAGGCCACCAATCGATTTTTGTAATAAATTCACATTTAACCCTCAGTAACTCAGAGCACCAAAATTATATTTTTTTCTGTTCTATTGGTAAACATCACGGACTATATTTAGACATGAAGTATATTTGTAAATGCCAAAATACAACATTAAATAAAAACATAAATTTCTTTAAAAAGACCCCCTTCTTTGACTGCATTTTGTAAAATGTCAGTTATTTTGTATCATACTCTTCTTTGCTGTTCTTGTTTGTCTTCTAAACCTGTATCAACCCAGGTAGGTTCAAAAGGTACAACTCAGAGGTTCGATTGAAACTAGAGTAAACTTGACAAACTGAAACTGAGTTCGAAGAAACCAAGTACTTTGTAGTCCCCAATGAATGTGAAAACAACCTTCAAGAAGAACAGCTCAATGATCATGACGAATGTCATATGCCAGCAAAGCTTGCCCTAATGAGATACAAGTCCAACTGAAATAAATACTGACAACTGTACATATACATGTACAATCAAGTAGAATTTTTTCACCTCTCATTTAATCTTGATTTTACAAGATTCAATCAAAATGGCTGTTATGCTACTAAAAGAGGAACACTAAATGCCAGGGAAAGGGCAAACAGAACAATGGTATTCCTGGTATTCAATGTGATTGAAATTATACAAGAATTCAAAAAAAACTTTAACTTGTGGAGTTGTGCAGTTTATTTTGATATACAACTTGAGCTCGTGTCGAAAATAGCTTCGCTGACATTTCCAGTAGCACCGATCGCATATTAAAACCTTTAGTGGCGATAAAACCATTTTAAATAAGAAAAATGACTGATTCACAAACTTGATGCCATAGTCAGTCACGTATGATGTTTGAAAATCATTTATTTATTTGATATCGAATCTTTTTTATATCTGGTTATGTTCCCAGTAAGATTCAATATGTAGCTATTTACTTATCAGGAGTGAAAGTCTCTTTAAACAATTCATTGTTTTACAAAGTTGTTCTTACTTAAACTTTATGGAATTTTGTAATGCCGGTCTAGCCTCGCTTCTTTCGCAGTTCTTGTCAAGAAAGAAAAAGATCTGTTACTAAATATAGTAACACTTTTCAAGAAAATCTCGCGAGAATCAACTCTGTGTCTCAATTATGTTTAAAACCACGTTTTTCTAAATACTAAATCAATTTAAGCATTTACAAAACCCGATTAATTATCACATGGTTATTTTCTCGGGTTTTAACCTATCGTTTTGAAGAAAAACTACTATATTGAATCTGTCATGGCTGCGCCCATGGCAAGAGTATTTTGGTCATCAAGTTATGCTAGAGTTTTAAATGTTTGTAAAGTTTAATAGTTTTTGTTGTTAGCGAAGTATTGCACGAACCCTTTTAAAAGTATGAGGCAGCTGATACAGCTGATGAAAGAGGGCGAAGTCTGCATTGAAAATAGTTTATTAATGTTTCACATATGATATTATTAAATAGGGAATTCTGAAAATTATTTCTTAGGCCACCAACTATTTTTATACGACCGCAAAAAAATTTGGGGTCGTATATTGGTATGACGTAGGCGTCGTCGTCGTCCGGCGTCGTCGTCGTCGTCGTCGTCCGAAGACACATTGGTTTTCGCACTCTAACTAAGTAACTTTAGTTTAAGTGAATGGATCTTTTTGAAATTTGACCATAAGGTTAAATACCACAAAAGGAAGGTTGGGATTGATTTTGGGGGTTATGGTACCAACAGTTAAGGAATTAGGGGCCAAAAAGGGGCCAAAAATAAGCATTTTCTAGTTTCCAGACAATAACTGTGGAACGGTGTATGGATCTCTCTGAAATTATACTACAAGTTTCCATACCACAAAGGGATGGTTAGGATTTGCTTTGGGGGGTTATGGCTCAAACCGTGTAGGAATTAGGGGCAAAAAAGGGGGAAAAACAAGGTTGTCCTGGTTAATGGACAAATACTTTAGTATAAAACATAATTTAAAGCAGTGTAAGGGAGATAAATCAAATACATCATTGAAATTATCTCCCTTACACTGCTTTTAAATTATGTATAAAGTAATGGTTAATGAACAATAAAGATAATTTAAAACAGTGTAAGGGAGGTAATCCAAATACAGCGTTTTGGTTACTTCCCTTACACTGCTTTTAAATTATGTTTAAAGAAATGCATATTTATAAAGGAAGACTAGTAAAAATATCTGCAAATGTTGCATCTTTTTTTTTTACAAAAAAATCCATATGAAAGATTTGACACTATATTTTTAATTCTATTATAAAATAGATTAAGTTAGCACTATGGTAAATTTAAATGGGTAATTATGGTTGCCAACTCCATTGGAAATTTGAATTGAGATTATGACCATATCTTGAGGGAAAGAATTTTTTGGGGGAAAAAAGGGGGGGGGGATAAAAAGAAATTGTGGGGGGTCAATTTTTTCTCATTTCAGATTTCAGAATATATTCTTCAAATATTTTTTTTTTTTCAAATTTCAAATATTGAAAAATTTCAAGAAGTAATCTTTAATTGCACAGTATGGCGCATTAGATTTGTAAAATCTTTGATTACATTTATTTATTTGTTATGCCGAATCTAACAGTGTATTTAGATTTTTAATTTTGGGTCCAGTTTTCAAATTGGTCTACATTAAGGTCCAAAGGGTCCAAAATTAAACTTTGTTTGATTTTAGCAAAAATTGAATATATGAGGTTCTTTGATATGCTGAATCTAAACATGTATTTAGATTTTTTGATTATGGGCCCAGTTTTCAAGTTGGTCCAAATTGGGGTCCAAAATTAAACTTTGTTTGATTTCAACAAAAATTGAATATATGGGGTTCTTTGATATGCTGAATCTAACCATGTATTTAGATTTTTTATTTGTGGACCCCGTTATCAAATTGATTCATATTGAGGTCAAAAGGGTCCAAAATTAAACTTTGTTTGATTTCATCAAAAAATGAATTATTGGGGTTCTTTGATATTCCAAATCTAACCGTGTATTTAGATTTTTAATTTTGGGTCCTGTTTTTTAAATTGGTCTACATTAAGGTCCAAAGGGTCCAAAATTAAACTTAGTTTGATTTTAACAAAAATTGAATTCTTGGGGTTCTTTGATATGCTGAATCTAAACATGTGTTTAGATTTTTGATTATGGGCCCAGTTTTCAAGTTGGTCCAAGATAGGGTCCAGTATTTAAACTTTTTTTGATTTCAACAAAAATTGAATATATGGGGTTCTAATCTTTGATATGCTGAATCTAAACATGTATTTAGATTTTTGATTATGGGCCCAGTTTTCAAGTTGGTCCAAATTGGGGTCCAAAATTAAACTTTGTTTGATTTCAACAAAAATTGAATATATGAGGTTCTTTGATATGCTGAATCCAACCATGTAATTAGATTTTTTATTTGTGGGCCCCGCTATCAAATTGGTTCATATTGAGGTCAAAAGGGTCCAAAATTAAACTTTGTTTGATTTCATCAAAAATTGAATTATTGGGGTTCTTTGATATGCCAAATCTAACCGTGTTTTTAGACTTTTAATTTGGGTCCCGTTTTTTAAATTGGTCTTCATTGAGGTCCAAAGGGTCCAAAATTAAACTTAGTTTGATTTTAACAAATATTGAATTCTTGGGGTTCTTTGATATGCTGAATCTAAACATGTGTTTAGATTTTTGATTATGGGCCCAGTTTTCAAGTTGGTCCAAGTTGGGGTCCAAAATTACACTTTTTTTGATTTCAACAAAAATTGAATATATGGGGTTCTTTGATATGCTGAATCTAACCATGAATTTAGATTTTTTATTTGTGGGCCCCGCTATCAAATTGGTTCATATTGAGGTCAAAAGGGTCCAAAATTAAACTTTGTTTGATTTCATCAAAAATTGAATTATTGGGGTTCTTTGATATCAGACCTGCCAACTATCCCGATTTATGGGGGATATCCCCCATGAGAGGTCTCAACCTGAATTTTGAAATTCTTTATTTTATGACTTGAACACCTCAAAACAGGCATTAAAATGAGTTAAAAGGGTATTTAAGCACATATATACTCATTTGAACAATATAGAAGTAGATTAAAAACACTTATGACAATAACAGAGAAACATAAGTTCCTCTTTCGCTTAAAATCCCCCATGGAGATTTTTTAAAAGTTGGCAGGTATGTGATATTCCAAATCTAACTGTGTATTTAGATTTTTAAGTTTAAGTCCCGTTTTTTAAATTGGTCTACATTAAGGTCCAAAGGGTCCAAAATTAAACTTAGTTTGATTTTAGCAAAAATTGAATTCTTGGGGTTCTTTGATATGCTGAATCTAAACATGTGTTTAGATTTTTTATTATGGGCCCAGTTTTCAAGTTTGTCCAAGTTGGGGTCCAAAATTAAACTTTGTTTGATTTTAACAAAAATTGAATATATGGGGTTCTTTGATATGCTGAATCTAACCATGTATTTTGATTTTAGACATTGGACCATAATAGGTAAATTAAAAAAATTCAAGTTCTTAGACCACATTCTTTCTGTGTCAGAAACCTATGCTGTATCAAATATTTAATAACAATCCAAATTCAGAGCTGTATCAAGCTTGAATGTTGTGTCCATACTTGCCCCAACTGTTCAGGGTTCGACCTCTGCGGTCGTATCAAGCTGTGCCCCAGCGAAGCATTTTATTATATGGTGTAATAACATCAAGCACGAATTATTTAGAGATAATCAATTAAACTCAAGTAACATGATACATTGGAAAGAGGACGAAGTTACTGAAGTCAGGTTGAGGATTATCTCCCGAATTGGTTATAAGGCAAAATAAAAATATATTTGTGTATCAGGTAACACTATCGACACTATTTTTTTTCGAATTCGAAAATTTTCAACTTCTGTGTAAAAAATAGGGTCCGTTCCAGCGACATCTATGGTTTTTATATTTATCAAAAGTTGAATAAACAACTCTTTTATGTATAAACATGATAAAGACATTTATAGATACAGACAATTTATTTCTTTAAAACCATGTTGAAACCATTGACTTTGTAGAATGATTATTTAAAAGAAAAATCAATTCATGGAAACAGAGACGTCTCTCTGCAAACAAAAAAGTATTTTCTTTCACTTCTGGCAGTCAGGGGTGCTACTTAAACAAGTGATTTCATCATCACTTATTTCAGTGATTTGATAAATTCAGTTATCACCTATTTAAGTGATTTTAGTGTTTTCTTTGATCTTCAAATGCTAATTTCATTGATTTTCCATATTTTCACAATCTTTTCTATAATTTTCCTACATAAATCAATTATCCCTTTTTCTTTGTATATTAATTTCACCAGTGCGCTTGGGCAGTAAGTTAGTGCCTAAAGCTTTTAAAAGTACCCTTGGGAATTTTTCTGTAATAAAAAATTCATTAACTACTCTTACTATCAGACAAAGATCAACAATATTAGGTAACCTGATTGGTTTTCTTTAGAGTTAGAATGATCTACTTCAAGGTTATGACCTGATCTACAAACTATTCCAGTTTTTGCATATTTAAAAAAAACTGTAAAAGTGTCATGCAGGCTAATCAAGCAAAAGACAATTTCTGCATATACATAGTTGTTTTTTTAATGGAATTGTTGTTTTTTTACCAATAAAAAAATCAAGCTTGTGGGAAAAATATCAAGAAAATGTTATAAACACTTATTAAAGTGATTACATTTTAACTTCTAAAATTACTCGTTTCAGTGATTTTAAAAAGTCTGTGTGAAAATTTTTAATATTTCACAGCCAAAATTACTCGAGGGAGTGATTCTGAAATCACTTGTTTAAGTAGTACCCCTGACTGTCTGGCACTCATTACTTGAGTGTAGATCAATATATTCTTATTTTCGCTAAAAAAAATAGTTTCTTCATTAAAACGTGATTTACAAAATGCCTTCAGGCCAAATAAAATATATGTGTGGTTCCAGTTTCCCGACAGACCATAGTTTAAACACCCCCCGACCCTAGAACTTTTTTTTCCATTTCAGAAAAATAAATTTTGAACGATCCCATTTTGTGGAATGTGAATTTCAATAATTAAATTCACAGACTTCTGTCATCATGGTCATCTGAATTTCCATTAGAAGTATTCAGTACATCTAAAAATGTAAAATTCTTAACAGAATGCAACAATCTCCATGACCTGTTTTATGATGGCAAAACCGCCATTGTTAAAATATCTTCCGCAATCGTCAAATGATCCCCGTCATCGTTAAATTATCTTCCTCCATTGTCAAATGATCCCCGCCATTGTCAAAATTTGTTTTCATTTTGCTAGCCGCAACCATTTTTGTTAGCAATAATAATCTTTTGCATGTAATTGCATAACCCTTATTGTATTATAATCCAAAGGGTTCTCCTGATTACAGTTTTAAAGCCCTGAGGGATATCCGGCTAAAGATCTCTAGTCACTTGTACAGATAGATCAACACACCTGACAAGAGAACACTTGATCAAGATGGATGATTGATTGCATTATTTAATTACATTTCAGCAAATGCTAATGAAAAATTAGATTAAAAATAAATTTTAAATCCAGTTATGAAGAAAAGGGTTTAACCCCTTCGCCCCCAATCCCGCCTGTAGTCGTGATGGCGACCACCATTCTTTGATAGCCTGTATGACCCTCCATACTTTTTCAGAACTGCCCCAGCTCAACTGTCTTTACAGCAATTCCACCATGCAATTCATGGTCCATAAACTCTTCTCAGATGTGTGATTATGAAAATATGGCAACTTCAATGGCCTTTTTAGAGTTCAAAATCAGAAAAACGTGTAAAGTAGCCAAAATCAGGTGGGGGTGGGAGTCTTTTTATGGCCACTACGTTACCGGTATGGGCTGTAGGTATCAACTGTTATCATAAATACATGCATAGTTGGTACAGGAACACAAGGAGGTATAATATGGCCAAAAAAGTTGTGGTCTGTAAAATCTAGGTCACCGTTTTGTCAGAAATCGGTAAAAACGGACATTTAGGCATACTTGGCTAGCCAATAATAATTCCCCAGCAAGATTCTCAAGTCACAATTACTTCCAGTCAGTATGGATAGACTGCTGTAACTATAAGGTACTACTTGAATGACAAAGAAACACAGTTTAGTGATTAATGTTTACCTCTCAAGGTCGCATTAAAATCGAAAAATAGACTGAAAATGACAATTTTTCAGTAGGGTTGGGTTCAGAAATCTTTTGGGTTCGAATGAGTTAACAAGTCGAACACATGCCTTAATATTGATGTACGCAATCAGCATCCCCTTTTTAAATGAGTTCAAAATAAGACATAAAACAGAATATAATTTAATGCCAAATAACACGAGTACAACATACAATTATCGATAATATTGAATCGATTTACAAGTTTAAAAGTAAATACATGAATATTAACTACAACTTGATAATCTGAAGAAATTTCGCATCGTTATTCTGAATTCATTTTGTAGTTTACAATCAAATTAATATATCTGGTTTAGCATTCAGAATCAAAGGTGCATGTTGCATAGTCTATTACTACATTGTATTGTTATTGATGCTGCAAATTGTCGATACTGGTTCGATCATCACTTCTAAATTTTACAGTGAAAAAAAAAGCCCCCTGATTTTTAAGTCCTAAACAATTACCAGAATAGCAAGAAAACAACTTTGGAACCTTAAGGACAGCTTGTGGTCATTCTTAACTAAGGGGAGCCATGCAGGCTTGACATTGGAATTGTTACAAATGACAATTAACGAAAATACATGTAGTGGTTATTCTATTATGAAATAAATATAATAAGCAATATATCAGTCTGTTCACCATTCCTTACATAGAAATGGAGGAATGAAATACTTTCCATCACGACACGACGTAGATGTGGGGTTTTGTCATCATTAAATTTCCATCCATGGAGATCCCTGCAATGCAACAAAATTAACTAAAAATGTAAAATGTCTGTTTATTTTACAACCAAACATGTAGAAAATGGTGATCTTCTGGTAGGGGCGTGTATAATACCGGAATCAGACTTGGTGAACACACAATTTTTTTCCGGATTTTGACAATCCAAAAAAAATAAATTTTAAATTAATAAATGCTGACCTTCCAACCCTATTTTTGTCGAGGATGTAACTGGAACCACACATATATTTTTATTTTGCCTTAGTTAAGGTTTGAACCATTTATTGCATTAAAAATGTCATATTCCTTTCAAAATCGCTTGTGAAAGATTGTTATTTTGCAATTTTTCTGCTTCCGCCAATGACTAATTTACACAAATCACCAGTTGGAGGTGGATCAACTATGACAGAAATCTGTATTCTTATGATAATATAAGCCTCACTTTCAAATGGCACAGCTGACGGAAGAATAATGATTTCAAAAGTGAAAAATACACAATTTGTTAGATTTGCTAAAATATGCAGTTAAAAAGAGTATTATGTATTATGAAAACAGAGAGCAATAAAACATCTTTCAATCTCTATCAAAGATCATGGCTTAAACATAATGTCCAGTGAAATTAACTGGCAATTTAATTTTCAGTTCTTGAAAGGGAAATTTTGTTTTAATATCTGAATTGTCAAATTGACAAGTGTAATTGACAAGTGTGCATAAAGTCTATAGTTACAAATCAACAAATCTAACCATTAAAGCTCATTAGAACTCATTATGTAGAAGCCACAACATCATTAATATCTCTCTGTGAATGTCCAGACACAGATGTTGGCTACATAGGTCGTAAAATCTGACCATTAAACTTTTACTTGTTTATGACCCATGAATATTTTTCATCACATCTTTCTCAGGAACTACATTACAAGGATTTCTGAAATTTGGTTTCAGGGGTTATATGAGTCAGCTATACCGTGTGATGCTTTTTCAGATTCATCACTTTACAACTTCCTGTTTACTGAACACTTATATCATTTTACACATGACATCCAAGTTGAAAATTTTCTTCGCATTTTTCTCAGGAACTACATTACAAGGATTTCTGAAATCTGGTTTCAGTGTTTATATAAGTTAGCTATACCGTGTGATGCTTTTTCAGATTCATCACTCAACAACTTCCTGTTTACCGTCAAGTATTTGGGCTGGCGGTATCATCAGTGAGCAGTAGCTCGCAGTTTCACTTGTTTATTTATGGTTTTATAACACTGAATCTGTTTCAAATTATTCAACCTATGCCAACATTTTTTCAGACTGTTTTATACCTGAATTTCAAAATGTTGGCATAGGTTGAATGAACCTAGAAAAACAAATAAACCATACAGCAACCAATGACAACCACTGAATTACAGGCTCCTAACTTCAGATGGACACATACATGTCTACTTAAAAAAGAAATGAAAATAAATTGCTTAAAGCACTTAATTTTAAAAAAATGTGACTTACTAAAATTCAAAATGTTAAGTAAAATTAAAAAGTTTGCCTAAGTCACTTGCAAAGTATTAAACTCCAAGTTGTTTAACTGTCCAAACTACATTTGGATTCCCATTACAGAGCTTTTTATTGGGGGCATTTTCCTACTAACCAAATCCTTATCACAACTAGTACTGGTTTCACAAATTTAAGGAGTTGTAAGACTAATCTGGAATGAATGAGGAGTTTTAGGACTAATAAGTATGAAAGAGGAGTTGAAAGACTTATATGGAATGAAAGAGGAGTTGTAATACTAATATGGAATGAAAGAGGAGTTGTAATACTAATATGGAATGAAGGAGGAGTTGTAAGACTAATATGGAATGAAGGAGGATTTGTAAGACTTAATATGGAATGAAGGAGGATTTGTAAGACTAATATGGAATGAAGGAGGAGTTATAAGACCAATATGGAATGAAGGAGGAGTTTTAAGACTAATATGGAATGAAGGAGAAGTTTTAAGACTAATAGAAGGAAAGCTTTATCCAATAGAAACAAAAAGTTTATATTTTTTTCTATTTCAGAAATTTAGACAGTTGAACTGTAATGGAGAAGTTTGTGTGTCAGCATTAGTGATGCAATACAGATCAAAGCACTGGAATCCAAAGTTCAAAAAAGAAAGAGGACAAAAGTTCATGAAGGTGCATTATCTAATCATAGCCAAAACATAGTTATCACTACAAGGGATGACAACTATCAGGGCCCTGTAGTCCATGGCACCTCAAATTTTACCTGGGATACTGAAATTTTGTATATTTCTACACTATGATGTTACTGTTGGTGCATGAACATTTCTAAGTTTCATCGGTGCCACAAAATTTAGAGTACCATATAGCGGGTTATTTTTGCTGGGTGTTTATTTTCGCTTATTTTGTCGAATAAAGGAAAATCCCGAAAATTTATGCATATGTTCGATACTTTCTAATAGCTGAAGCATTTTGTAAACGATTTACTTTTTCCTGTCGGCGGGTCAATAATGGTTTATGTTAGTTTATATAAGTGTAAGGTACTCTGTCAGATATTTACCCTTATTAATTTCTATCAAAAATCTCATCATAGATACCAGGATTGAAATTTTGTATTTGCTCCAGACGCGCATTTCGTCTACAGAAGACTCATCAGATTCAGTGACGCTCGAATCAAAAAAGGTTAAAAAGGCCAAATGAAGTACGAAGTTGAAGAGCATTGAGGACCAAAAATTCCTAAATGTTTTGCCAAATACAGCTAAGGTAATAAATTATATAACAGTTGCAAGTCAGTCTTGATTATTTTATAAATTAATAAGTACATCAAAGGTCCGGTCAATTTCGATACTAATCAACTGTAACATTTAGATTGATTGATTGATTGTTGGTTGCTTTACGCCGCATTAGCACAACAAGGCTATATCGCGGCGGTAACATTTAGAAGAAGTTTGTACACCTGTGACAAATATCTAAGCTACCGGTATTCTATTGATTAACTGTATCAATATATAATCAATAAATAAGACGTCATACAGGCAAAACAACAATTCAACCATAACAATAGACACTTGCTTGTCAATTTTTACAACCTTTTAACTACAACCATTTCAGTATCCACCAAAATATTTAATTGGTATTTAAGAATTTGCCAAAATAAAAAACAAAAATTTTTCATATACTTTGTTGCCCCTAAATCGCGAAAAAAAACAGCTATACGGTATCTACTAATGATTTTAGGCAAGAGTTTTCTGTCACTCTTTGGACTTTATTTTCCATGATCAATGTTTGACACATTATTTAGTACAAACATCCTATATTTGTCCTAAGCTCCTCCTGATAGCTTCAATGACTCTGTTTCCAGTGAGACGAAAATATTTGCGGAGAAAAATTAAAATACTCTTAATCTGTTATGCCTTATTCAAGTGGTATTTACAGCCAAGTTATTCCACAAAGAGATCTAACATCACTATTTAACAAGATACAATTGATGTGATAGTTTCAATATATATGCACTTGTCTCAGTTTTTTGCAAAATGGATTATTTTGGACATTTTTGTTTTATAGAAGAGAGAAGCTGAGTGTTGACTTGACAATAGCTCAAACTTGCTTTTTTATGGTTGGTGACCTGAAACGGAACATTGATTCATGTTTGTTTTTTTTTACTTCTGGATGTGTTTTTTGATATTTTTTATTTTTATGCCCCCGTCGAAGAGGAGGGGGCCGAAGTGGAGGGGGCATTAAGTTTTACCCTGGTCTGTCTGTCCAACATTGGTTTCCATTCTCTAATTTAAGTTTGCCTCAACCAAATGTTATCAAACTTATACACAATGCTTATTACCACAATACACAGATCAAGTTTGAATTTTGGTGGCGTCACTTTTACTGTTCTAGAGTTATGCCCCTTTACAAATGGAAAAATTGCTAAATTTTTCATTTTTTTTCTTAAAATATCAATGATGTCATTGTTCAAGTAATTTTTAAAATTGGAGTTATCTTCCTTTGTCCATGATTATAGTTGAATCAACTACAATCAATGCTTTATACAATGCAATGTTTAATTTTGCCTTCCATTGATTAAACACAGATCAAGTTGAATTTGGGTAGTGTCACTTTAACCATTATTGAGTTATGCCCCTTTATAAATCAAAAATTGCAAAAGTTTTAGTTTATGTTCTGTAACTTAAGTTTGCCCCAACCAAACATGAAACCTATACACAATACTAATTACCACAAAACTAAGATCAAGTACAAATTTGGGTAGCGTCATTTTTATTGTTCTTGAGTTATGTCCCTTTATAATGTTGTATGCAAGCGGGGGCATCATCTTTGTCCATGGGGACACATTCTCCATTTATTTAATTTCTCATTTTACATTTTCTTTATTCAGTTTGACCTCCCTAATTATGAAGAGCAAGTGAAAGGAAAAAAGGAAAAAACTTCCATTGATGAAGAAAGAAAAAAGATGAAGCAAGATGGAAGAAAACACCCTTCTTCCTTTAGTGTGAAACCAATAAGCATATCATCCACATGTGAGTCTAATGCAGCTTTGTAATAATGGGCTTTTCATTAAAGAGATGTCTGTTTTTAGACACAGAATAATTTGGCTTGCATGGCTGGGCAAAGATGGCAACAAAAACTAATACACATGTATATGTTCCTGATCATATGAGTATTTGGATCATAGTCATTACCATTTGTGTATACTTATATGGTCAGCCCATAGAAGTATATACTTGTTTAGTTATTAACGGGTCAGACCATATGAGAATATGCTTGTTTGGTTATTAAAGGGTCTGACCATATGAGTATATTCTTGTTTGGTTATTAACCGGCAGCACCATATGAGTATTGAGACCATATAGGTGATTTTCTAATAAATTCTAAATTCCTTCACAGAAACACACAGCTTGTTCTCTCTCTCTCTCTCCCCCCCCCCCCCCAAAAAAAAAAAAAACACAAAAAAAACTAACTGATATCCGTTATCTTTGACATGTCTGAATTTTGGTGTATCTGTTATCTTTTCCCCCAGTGTTTTTTCAATTAAATGAAAATAAGTAGAAATTACTGATCAGTTACAACCAATGCTTTATACAATGCAATGTTTAATTTTATTTCCCTCTGATAAATTAAGCAATCTTTACCCTTCTGTGCTGACAAGCACTTTGATTCTTTTCCGTTCTCTAAAGTTTGCCTCAACTAAATGTTATGAAACTTATACACAATGCTTATTACCACAAAACTCAGATCAAGTACAAATTTGGGTAGCGTCACTTTTACCGTTCTGAGTTATGTCCCTTTACATCATTATATGCAAGCAGGGGCATCATCTGTGTCCCATGGACACATTCCCCATTTGTTATTTGCATATGGGTTGCTATGACCAAGGATGTAAATATTATAACTATAGACTTGTAGGGCCTTTAACAATGAGCAAAACACACACTGTATAAGGTGCCACAAAAAACCCTGGCATTAAAAAATGAGAACCAATTCAAAAGATTTTAAAACAACAAATGATAAACAAATAAGGTAGACAACAACCGACAACCACTGAATTACAGGCTCCCGACTTGGGACTGCCACATAAAGAATGTGGCAGGGTTATACATGTGTGTAAGCACTCAACCCTCACCTAACCTGGTACAGTGATTAACAGAACAACATATTTAACAACAAACTATAAAAATCAGTTGAAAAGGCTGGATTCATCAGATTGACACAAAAACCCTAACAAAAATACAAAAAACACAAGGTGCTGATTTAAGAGTACTCACAGACTGTTCTTAAGTAACAGACTAATTCAGAATTATTGTTGGATTATTGGAAAGTAACTGCTATTGAATTTTGATTGGGACAGATGTTATTTAGGAGGAAGTGGAGACAGTCAGACTTTAGCATAATTTAGGAGGATGTGAGTTGAAATTCAGGAGTAAAATAAAAAACTTATTTGAACAAAATCTTGTTTAGACTGGTTTAACATTATTAATAAGATGATTTCATTTGATTTTAGCTAATGTCTTAGAGGCCTATATTCCTCCAGAAGGAGATGGAAAAACATCACTTATTTCAAAAACTGTGAGTACTTTGATTCCTTCATTTTTTCACCATGAGCATAAAAGCCAAGTTTTGATCTTTATGGATTTGAAGTACACATTGTTCTGCTTACTGTTTACGTCAAGTGAAAGAAATAAAGAATACAAAGAATTTCAGTCTATTTACTGCTGCTGTAACCTTGACAATTGACCTAGTGACCTAAAAATCATTAGAGGTCTTTTTCACCCACATTATCCACCAAAAATAGGTTATTAGTCCCCTACCGACGAAGTCGAAGGGGACTTTAGGCTTGCACTCCGTCCGTCTGTCTGTCCATTCGTCTGTCCATCCGTCAGTCCGGCAAATCAGCTTTCCACACTTTTTTTCTTCGTTCTTGAAGATATTGATTTGATATTTGGTATATAGTTTTATCATGACAAGTTATAGATCAAGTTCGAATTTTGTTCCGGTCTGATGATTTAGTCCAGAGTTATCATGGTCCATATCTAATGTTAGAGTACTACATTTTGTATGTTAAACCATATTTCTCCTTCAAAGAGAGATAACTCATTTTTTTATACGACCGCAAAAATTGAAAATTTTTTGGTCGTATATTGGTATGACGTTGGCGTCGTCGTCGTCGTCGTCGTCGTTGTCGTCGTCGTCGTCGTCGTCGTCGTCCGGCGTCGTCTGGCGTCGTCCGAAGACACATTGGTTTTCGCACTCTAACTTTAGTTTAAGTGAATGGATCTCCATGAAATTTTACCATAAGGTTCAATACCATGAAAGGAAGGTTGGGATTGATTTTGGGGGTTATGGTACCAACAGTTAAGGAATTAGGGGCCAAAAAGGGGCCAACAATAAGCATTTTTGTAACTTCCAGACAATAACTTGTGTGTAAGTGTATGGATCTCTCTGACATTGTACCACAAGGTTCCATATCACAAAGGGAAGGCTGTAATTGATTTTGGGGGTAATTGCCTCAAAATGTTAGGAATTAGGGGCCAAAAAAGGGGCAAAAAACAAGCATTTTTCTAGTTTCATGACAATAACTTGTGTGTAAGTGTTTGGATATTTCTGAAATTGTACTACAAGGTTCCATATCACAAAGGGAAAGCTGGAATTGAGTTTGGGGGTAATTGCCCGAAACGTTTAGGAATTGGGGGCCAAAAAGGGGCCAAAAATAAGCATTTTTCTAGTTTCCAGACAATAACTTGTGTTCAAGTGTATGGATCTCTCTGAAATTGTACTGCAAGGTACCATACCACAAAGGGAAGGCTGAGATTGAGTTTGGGGGTGATGAATCATAAGGGGGTTCAAAAAATTTTGGGGGGGGGGGATTTTTTTTTTTTTCTTTTTTTTTTCTTTTTTTCCTTTTTTTTTTTCTTTTAAAATTTTCCATTTTAAGTTGGTTATTTCTGATTTATATTTAAAAGCAAATAATAATGATATGGTAGGAGATACACACCAAACAGGATGTGTAAATTATTATATAATAAGTATTGTGCAATAGCAAGAAATTTTCAATTGCACAGTATTGCACAATAGCAAGAAATCTTCAATTGCACAGTATTGCGCAATAGCAAGAAATCTTCAATTGCACAGTATTGCGCAATAGCAAGAAATATCCAATATCACAATATTGCGCAATAGCAAGAAATTGTCAATTGTACAGTATTGCGCAATAGCAAGAAATAATCAATTGCACAGTATTGTGCAAAAGAAGATACTTCGTATAAATTGCTTATTTCTTGATCAATTTCAATGGGGTTTTATTCTTGAATTCTTGGGGTTCTTTAATATGCTGAATCTAACCGTGTATTAAGTTTTTAGATTTTGGGCCCCGTTTTTAAATTGGTCCACATTGAGGTCCAAAGGGTCCAAAATTTAACTTTGTTTGATTTCATCAAAAATTGAATTATTGGGGTTCTTTGATATGCCGAATCTAACCGTGTATTTAGTTTCTTAATTTTTGGTTCTGTTTTCAAATTGGTCTACATAAAGGTCCAAAGGGTCCAAAATTAAACTTAGTTTGATTTCAACAAAAATTGAATATATGGGGTTTTTTGATATGCTGAATCTAACCATGTATTTAGATTTTTGATTATGGGCCCAGTTTTCGAGTTGGTCCAAATCGGGGTCCAAAATTAAACTTTGTTTGATTTCAACAAAAATTGAATATATGGGGTTCTTTGATATGCTGAATCTAACCATGTATTTAGATTTTTGATTATGGGCCCAGTTTTCAAGTTGGTCCAAATCGGGGTCCAAAATTAAACTTTGTTTGATTTCAACAAAAATTGAATATATGGGGTTCTTTGATATGCTGAATCTAACCATGTATTTAGATTTTTGATTGTTGGGCCCCGTTATCAACTTTGTCCACATTGAGATCAAAAGGGTCCAAAATTAAACTTTGTTTGATTTCATCAAAAATTGAATATATGGGGTTCTTTGATATGCTGAATCTAACCATGTATTTAGATTTTTGATTATGGGCCCAGTTTTCGAGTTGGTCCAAATCGGGGTCCAAAATTAAACTTTGTTTGATTTCAACAAAAATTGAATATATGGGGTTCTTTGATATGCTGAATCTAACCATGTATTTAGATTTTTGATTATGGGCCCAGTTTTCAAGTTGGTCCAAATCGGGGTCCAAAATTAAACTTTGTTTGATTTCAACAAAAATTGAATATATGGGGTTCTTTGATATGCTGAATCTAACCATGTATTTAGATTTTTGATTGTTGGGCCCCGTTATCAACTTTGTCCACATTGAGATCAAAAGGGTCCAAAATTAAACTTTGTTTGATTTCATCAAAAATTGAATATATGGGGTTCTTTGATATGCTGAATCTAACCATGTATTTAGATTTTTGATTATGGGCCCAGTTTTCAAGTTGGTCCAAATCGGGGTCCAAAATTAAACTTTGTTTGATTTCAACAAAAATTGAATATATGGGGTTCTTTGATATGCTGAATCTAACCATGTATTTAGATTTTTGATTATGGGCCCAGTTTTCAAGTTGGTCCAAATCGGGGTCCAAAATTAAACTTTGTTTGATTTCAACAAAAATGGAATATATGGGGTTCTCTAATATGCTGAATCTAACCGTGTATTAAGTTTTTGGATTTTGGGCCCCGTTTTTAAATTGGTCCACATTGAAGTCCAAAGGGTCCAAAATTTAACTTTGTTTGATTTCATCAAAAATTGAATTATTGGGGTTCTTTGATATGCCGAATCTAACTGTGTATTTAGATTCTTAATTTTTGGTTCCGTTTTCAAATTGGTCTACATAAAGGTCCAAAGGGTCCAAAATTAAACTTAGTTTGATTTTAACAAAAATTGAATTTTTAGGGTTCTTTGATATGCTGAATCTAAACATGTATTTAGATTTTTGATTATGGGCCCAGTTTTCAAGTTGGTCCAAATCGGGGTCCAAAATTAAACTTTGTTTGATTTCAACAAAAATTGAATATATGGGGTTCTTTGATATGCTGAATCTAACCATGTATTTAGATTTTTGATTTTTGGGCCCTGTTATCATTTTTGTCCACATTGAGATCAAAAGGGTCCAAAATTAAACTTTGTTTGATTTCATCAAAAATTGAATTCTTGGGGTTCTTTGATATGCTGAATCTAACCATGTATTTAGATTTTGGATATTGGACCATAATAGGTGAATGTCCAATTTAAAATTTTTAAGTTCTTAGACCACATTCATTCTGTGTCAGAAACCTATGCTGTGTCAAATATTTAATCACAATCCAAATTCAGAGCTGTATCAAGCTTGAATGTTGTGTCCATACTTGCCCCAACTGTTCAGGGTTCGACCTCTGCGGTCGTATCAAGCTGCGCCCTGCGGAGCATTTTATTAAAGACATTCTTTGGTTAATTGTTTGAAGTGTTTTTTATTTTGTATAAACTAATTTTCTGAATGCTATATACATAAAAAAAAATTATGAAGTGTAATCTTTTAATTAGATAATAATCTATTTTTATTAAGGTATATATTTCATTACATTACATTGTGTATATATAAAAGTTGTTGACATTTTATAGATAAGTTACAAATCTATATTACTTTGTGACAAATGAAAGAAAAAATATTTGGAACTATTAATTATATTTGATTATAACTTGAAAATAAATATACATATAGATTCTTACATTGATACCAGTGGATTATCGGATTTATCCAATCGAGATAGTTAAATTATCAATTTTAAAGTCTTAGCCTCGGCGAGGACTTTAAAATTTATAATTTAACTATCAAGATTGGATAAATCCGATAATCCACGAGTAACTGTGTAAGAATCTTTTTCTCTAATGATTAAAAAATAAATTTTCCTTTTTTGCTAAACTAAAATCCCCTTCGAGTGCCTTCCACTTTCCATAAAGTTGTCAATTTCATTAATACCTGTTAGGATATTTTGATGCATCCAGTGAGCTGAGAAAGGTTATGACCCTTAAACTCATCCAATCATCTTCTGAGATCACTGGCAACCACACGTTGATTAAATTTTTTTGATACAATGGGTTCGGAAAGGGATAAATTTCCATAGAATTAGAGAAATTGTATTACATCATATCTAATTTTAGAGAACTATTAATCACATCTAATGTTAGAGTGTTTTTCACACTTTTTTTCATCATGCTTGAAGATATTGATTGATAATTGGTATATAGTTTTATCATGACAAGTTACAGATCAACTTCAAATTTTTGTTTCGGTCTGATAATTTTGTGCAGAGTTATGGTCCTTGGACTTGAAAAATTCACTCATATAATCAGTTTTCCACTCTGTTTTTAGTCATGCTTGAAGATATTGACTTGATATTTTCTTTTTGTTTACACCATGACAAGTTATAGAACAAGTTAGCATTTTGTTCCAGTATAATGAATTTCTACCCGGTAGGGGACTATGTATTGCCATGCAATACTCTCGGAAAGCTTGTTTTTTTCATGTTGGGGCCTTAAATAGCCGAATATACAGTATCGGTTGTTTCATTGTTGAAGGATGTATGGTGGCTATAATTGC